ATTTGCTCAACTCCCTTCAACACTGATTTCTATTCACTTCCTTGAACCTCGCTGAACCGTCTCTAAATCAACTGCACCTGTGACCAGCTCTCCTCACCGTACAGACTTCAGGCATGGCAATGAACAACAATTCTGCGAAGGTTTCCAAGTCGACGCCACAAGTCGCACCTGACGGAGACATTGAATCAGGAGAAGCCACTTTCTTAGCTTCAGATGACCCGTTCCCCGTTTCAACGTCGCCGCATGGAAAGTCGCTTCCCCTCTTCTGCTGCGCACCTCCGCTTGCAAAGGACGCATTTTGCGCAAGTGGCAGCGCGGATGAGGAGAATTCGGGGGAGTTCACCGCAATTTACCCTTCCGATTTGCGCATAGCCAACCCTAAGGAAGTAACCAGCACTGCAGACGAAGTAGAAAAACTTCGCAAGGACGAGAAGGATCGCCAGAGGCGGCGCCGAACCTGCTGCTGCCGCGTCGCATGCTGGTCGCTCATCGTCCTCGCCGTCTTGATCGTCGGATTAGGCGTCGCAGGGCTCGTCGCATACCTGACAGTCTCGAAGCAACAGCCGGAGGTGAAGGTCGAGCGAATCAACATCCTCCGCGTCGGCATCACAAAATCCGGCGGCGGGTTCCTGGGCCTCGAAAACTTCCGCCTTGGCCTATCCGCGTTAATAAACGTCACCGCGCTCGTGTATAACCCCAACAACTGGGACGTGGAAGCGGAAAACATCAGCATCGACGTAAAATTCTTCGACATGAATGTTACAAATGTGACCATTCCTGGCGTCGTGGGCATGAGCAAGGGTGGGAGCGCGGAGTTGACTGTCCCCCTCGATATTGTCGACGCGCCCCTGGCGACGCTGAGTCCCGCGAGCCTGCTGACGACGCCGCTGCTGCATGGGCGCGCGGAAATGCGGGTGGTGGTTGGCACTGCAGCGCGCGTGAAATACTGGGGCATCTCGTCGCCACGCGTTATGGTGCATGTGGAATGCACGATGCAGCTGGACCCGTTTTCCGCTAAGAAGTACAACGAGCAGTGTACACCCAGCATCTCGCTGTGAACGGGGCATCAGCAGCAGAGGTTTAGGAGTCCATAGGTTACTCTTTGCCATTCTTCCTCTTAGGTGTTGCCATAGGCTCCTCCTCACGGTCATACTCCCTCTTTGGTATTTGCTTGCCTTTTCTGGGCATATTCCTGACTTTGTGTCAGTCCCAGGCAGAAGGGGTTTACACAAATGTTGGAATTCGCCCTCTTTGTTTTGTACTTGATGTTTGACTATAATCTACCTAACAAAACTTCTAGCTTACGCAACGGCAGGACCATAGCACAGAATACGGTACCCAGCAGGAAGGGAGTGGTGGAAGCACGTGGGCTTTGTGGGGATCAGCAAGAGTGCGGGACAGGTGCGGGCCTACCAACGAAGTGAAGTACGCTATCAGCCGAATCCGAACAGACATCCTCTTTGGCTGGCGAGTGCATGACCATGGGTCCTGGTAACGTTACACGTGGCACAACACATCAAATCACATTGGCAAGCACAACAGCAGGACTCTGCCAGGGGATCTTATACAACAACAGAGCCGCTTCATGCATTCAATGGACAGGAGCTACTTCTCTCTGAACACAGCATAACTTATAAACCTGGACTTAACTGAATAGAGCTGCATCTGACTCTCTCTTGGAGTTGATCAGATGAGTATTAAGCTCCTGCAGCAGCAGCAACTATCAAGAGGCATCCCCCTACATACTTGACAAACTGTCAAATCTATTTACCCACCAGAGTGTCTCAAGCAGCGTCCGAGTCGCTCTGAGAATTCAACAGACGCAGAATTAGTTCCTGCTGCAGCAGCAGCTGCTGGTGCAGCGCGCTCGCCTGCTCAATCGCTCGCATATCCTGCTGTACCACCTGCTTCTGCAGCCTCCTCACTGCCCTCCTCTGCAGCTGCACCTCCCCCTTTAGTACGTCTAGTCCCTCTGCTGTCATTGCAGCGTCTCTAGAAACCCTAGTGAGCGTGTCTTTGAGTCTCTTGTGCTCCTCCTCCTCCAGCTGCTGCTGCTGCTCCTGCTCCCTGAGTGGAGCAACCGGGGCTGCCATCCCATCCAGAACCTCTCCAAACTGAGCCAGGATCACGTTAGCTATGGGCCGAACCTCGACGGTAGGATCAGTATCGGCCTGAAAGGGAGAGGAAGGAGGGAGGCAGTGCAGGGGGGATAAATAGAAGATGTGGTTACAATGGCAACTACCAAGGGTAAATAGGAGATGTGGTATGTGGATAAATAGAAGACTCCCAAGGGGATAGAGACAAGACAAGATTTACGGTGGGAGTGCGGGCAAGCAGGCAGCTCACCTGTCGCTTGAGAAGTGAAGAGTTGTGGGAGGGAGAGAGAGCAAGCGGGCAACCCACCTGGCGCTAGAAGCTGAAGCTTCCTCCCCTCACGGAGTCACTACCAGGGTGTCTGTTAGCCGCACAGCGCTCCAGCACCCCCAACAGCGCGTCGCCATTCATGCATTGACAGTGGAAGGGAGAGTGAAAAGCAAGCAAGCGGGCAACCCACCTGTCGCTTAAAGCTGAAGCCTCCTCCCTGCAAGGAGTCACTGCGGGGGTGTCTGTTGGCAGCGCAGCGCTCCAGCACCCCCAAAAGCCCCTCACCCTGTGCCTTGACCCGCCCAAAGCCCCCTCACCTGGCGTTTGAAGCTGAAGCCTCTGCGCACGGAGTCACTCCCAGGAGGTTTGTTGGCAGCACAGCGCTCCAGCACCCCCAGCAGCGCATCGGCATTCAAGCAGCGCTTGCCCACCCGCAGCACCCTGCGCGCGCGCGGCTTGCTTCGCCCGAAGCCTCTCCACCATCTGTTGACTCGATTGAACCCTTCTTTGAGAGCTGCGGCTGACTTGGCCACTACTGAATCCTCGAGCTGGGAAGGAGGAGAGAGAGAGGGAGAGGGGGTGAGGAGGGGAAGGGAGGGAAGGAGGGAATGGATGAGAAGGCAGCAGCGGTTGACTCGATCTAAGCGTTCCTTGAAAGCTGCCACTGATTTGGCAACCACCGAATCCTCAAGCTAGGGAGGAGGAGAGAGGGAGAGAGGGAAAGAGGGAGGGGAAGGGAGGAAAGGAGGGAAAGAATGAGAAAGGCAGCAGCAGCTAATTTGCTGAAGCCTTCGTTGAGGGTCGCGACCGTGTCTGACTTGGCCACCATCAAATGCGCAGGCTGCGGAGAGAAAAAGGCTGGAAAGGGAACGGAGGGGATGAGGGACAAGACGAAAACGCCTGAAGACGCCTTTGTTTGATGGATGCAATGGACTTGAAAGCTCACAGAGGCTTATCTTCTAAGATGTTTTCCTCATGGTATTAGGGCAGAAGCGGTAGACTATTCTCACCATTATGTATCCATTTTCACCCTCCCCTGCACAAGTAGGTGCCTTGTGAGTAGAATAGGCTATGAGAGTGTGGTGGTGTTGGTTGTGGCTTGTGGATGACATGTGAACAACCCTCTGCGGTCAAGTCAACCTTCTAGCAGCGTTTTCGTGTTTTGTCCATAGTGTTCATGCATTTGGGGCGAGAAGTCACCATCCGTATTGGGTAAGTGCTGTATATGAAGCTTAGTTGAGAAAGACGCGTCCTGCGTCTTAGACGCATGTGTCCAGACGCAGGACGCAGCACCAGGACCAGAGAGACGCACCAAAAGACGCATGGCCGGGCAGGGCAAAAAAACCCCCCCGGGCAGGCAAAAAATGTTCCTGCCAACAGTTACGACCAGTTACAACCAGTTACGACCAACATCATTCACAACTAAGTTTTTGCGTGAGTCTAGGAGCGATAACATTGGAAAGGTACTCAAATCGTATGGCAGGGGGTGATGGGGACGGGAAACCTGGGACGACTGTTTCTAGCAAACAAATCCGCCAGATCCAGTCGACCTAAAATCCCTGAACCGCACTAAATCCCATCCACTCTACCTAACCCAACCTCTCCAATCTCTACATCCTGCGACTACGCACCCCACCTTGACACCAATAATGTGCATCGAAATCGCGAATCACGATTTCATTGCGCAGCCTTTTTCTTCGCGGGCCTGCTGGTAAATACCGTAAGAAAAAAATTCGGGCAGCCCGATTTTTTTTTTGCAGTGTGTCCTGCGTCTGGACACGCGCCCTGCGTCCGTGCGTCCAGACGCAGGACGCAGCGTCCTCCGAGCGTCTTTCTCAACTAAGATATGAAGGCACGCAGGTGCATATCCCTAATATAAAGCCAAAGAATCATCCGATGTTTGGTATGAGTTTTGCTGTTGATGTCCGTGTGATTTATCCAAATGCTAGCTAGTCTCTGTTTCCTCTACCTAGGTTACTTACCTAAAGGTGCACTCTCAAGCTGAGCAGGCAGGAGACTCTATGTGAAGTGCTCACAGGGTAAGGTTGACTTTTGAGGCGCGTCAAAAGTGCTCACAGGGTAGATTGAGTCCAAGTCAAGCCGCAGCAGGCGACCTGCTGATGTTTCTTAATTTGTCATTGTCAAGTCAATCGTTAAGCTTGAGAATGCACCTTTAGGTAAGTGACATAGGCAGCGGAAACATAGACTACACTTACACTTGCTAGCATCTGGATCAATCACGCGGACATCAATAGCAAAACTCGTATCGAGCATCGGATAATGCTTTGGCTTTATATTAGGGATATGCACCTGCGCGCCTTCATACACAACACTTACCCAAACCAGCAGCTACCACTACTAAAAGGAAGCAAGGATAGTAATCTCTCACCTTAAGTGTATGAACACTAAAACACGAAAACACTACTAGAACATTGACTGGACAGCAAAGGAGAGAGAACTGCTCACATGCCACCCACAAGCCACAACCGGCACCACACCACACCACAGCCTATCATATTCTCACCGTTACATCGACGTCCTCTACGCCATCATGAGCAAGTGGTGCTGCAGTCGTCCCGGCTTCCGTTAGCCTGTTGTGAGTCCACCTAAGAAATACGAGTTTACCCTGCTCTCACCGTAACGTCAACGTCCTCTGCGCCCAGCATGAGCAGGTGCCGCTGCAGCCGTCCTGGCTTCCAGTAGTCCGTTGAGAGGCGCAGCAGCACGTTGCGCAGCACATACCACATGTCCACTGGGAACGCTGGCGATTCTTCCGTAGATTTCTGGTTGCAAGAAAGGGGTGGCGGGGGGGAGGGGGGGGGGGGGGAGGAGGGAGGAAGGGAGAGAATGAGAGAGGTGGAATCAGTGCTTGCTTCCAGTATCCAGTAGTCCGTTGAGAGGCGCAGCAGCACGTTGCACATGACATACCACATGTCCACTGGAAATGCCGGTGAATCTTCTGTAGATTTCTGATTGGAGGGGAGTAGGGTGGGAGAAGGGAGGAAGGGAAAGATTGAGGAGGGGAGGAATCAGTTGTTCAAGTCTCCACACACATACCACATGTCCATGGGGAACGCTGGCGAAACGTAAGTGGAATTCTGGGTGCAAGGAATGGAGGGATGAGGGAGAGGGCAATGGCAGGGAAGAGGGGCAGGGACGGAGAAGGGACGGTTGGCACAGGGGGGAAGGCAAGGGAGGAGGCGTGTGAACGGACTGAAGACACCTGCACTTCCCAGAATCTGTGTTTTGAGAATCCTAAAGAAAAATGCGAAGCAGTGCAACGCAATGACGTGTGGAGGTTCAAGCGATGGAACTTGACCTAGGCACGGGGAGGTTGAAGAGGTAGGAGCTTACTCCGACTTCCAGGAACGTGTCCACAAACAATGGCGATGAGCATGTTGAGCATGACAAAGACCTTTACGCTGATGTAGGCGACCCATACGATGCGATGATGTGGTTGGGGTGGTTGAGGAAGCTTACCCTGACTTCCAAGAAAGCATCGACCACAATAGCGATGAGCACGTTGAGCATGACGAAGACCATGACGCTGATGTAGGCGACCCAGAAGATGATGGCTGCTGTGAGGTTCCACCCCTCCAGCTGGATGAAGTAGTAGCCCGTGCTGTTGTCGTTGATCAGGATGAGGAAGCAGGAGACCATCGACATCGCCACTGTGCTGAACTGCGGGAGGGGAGAGAGAGGGGTGAATGGGGGGAAGAGGGAGAGTTTTTTGGACACAAGAGGAGGGAGGGATGAAGTAGTAGCCGGTGCTGCTGTGGTTGATCAGGATGAGGAAGCAGGAGACCATCGACATCGCCACTGTGCTGAACTGCGGGAGGGGAGAGAGAGGGATGAATGGGGGGAAGAGGGAGAGTTTTTTGGACACAAAAGGAGGGAGGGATGAAGTAGTAGCCCGTGCTGCTGTGGTTGATCAGGATGAGGAAGCAGGAGACCATCGACATCGCCACCGTGCTGAACTGCGGGAGGGGAGAGAGAGGGGTGAATGGGGGGAAGAGGGAGAGTTTTCTGGACACAAGAGGAGGGAGGGATGAAGTAGTAGCCGGTGCTGCTGTGGTTGATCAGGATGAGGAAGCAGGAGACCATCGACATCGCCACCGTGCTGAACTGCGGGAGGGGAGAGAGAGGGGTGAATGGGGGGAAGAGGGAGAGTTTTTTGGACACAAGAGGAGGGAGGGATGAAGTAGTAGCCGGTGCTGCTGTGGTTGATCAGGATGAGGAAGCAGGAGACCATCGACATCGCCACTGTGCTGAACTGCGGGAGGGGAGAGAGAGGGGTGAATGGAGGGAAGAGGAAGAGTTGTTTGGTCACAAGAGGAGGGAGGGATGAAGTAGTAGCCGGTGCTGCTGTGGTTGATCAGGATGAGGAAGCAGGAGACCATCGACATCGCCACTGTGCTGAACTGCGGGAGGGGAGAGAGAGGGATGAATGGGGGGAAGAGGGAGAGTTTTTTGGACACAAGAGGAGGGAGGGATGAAGTAGTAGCCGGTGCTGCTGTGGTTGATCAGGATGAGGAAGCAGGAGACCATCGACATCGCCACTGTGCTGAACTGCGGGAGGGGAGAGAGAGGGGTGAATGGGGGGAAGAGGGAGAGTTGTTTGGTCACAAGAGGAGGGAGGGATGAAGTAGTAGCCGGTGCTGCTGTGGTTGATCAGGATGAGGAAGCAGGAGACCATCGACATCGCCACTGTGCTGAACTGGAACTGCAAGTGGAATGGAAAGGGTGGAGGGGGGGAAGAGGAGTGAATGGGGAAGAAAGGCGAGGGTTTTGGACATAAGAGTAGAAGCCAAGGAGTATCTGGTGCTGTTGTGGTTGATGAGGAGGGTGGGGAAAGCGAGGGGCAGGGAGTTCTCCCCACCTGTTGCACCTGCCAAACCTGCTAACACCACTCTATGCCCAGCGACGTACCTGCTCCAGTGTTCGACCGAACACGACGTAGGCGTAGAGAGAGAAGCCGATGAACATGATCGCCCAGAGCAGGAAGAAATGCACGAGGGCCGGGAAGGCTGCCCCACACCCTGCTTCACAGCACTGCACCGGCTAGCACTGCTCTATGCCAAGCATCATACCTGCTCCAAGGTTCGACCAAACACCACATAGGCGTAGAGAGAGAAGCCGATGAACATGATCGCCCAGAGCAGGAAGAAGTGCACGAGGGCCGGGAAGGCTGCTGCCATGGTGCGCGTGAGGATGGCGATGCGCGGCTGGAAGTCCATCAGCTTGAGCAGACGGAGGAGGAAGAGGAAGACGCTGAGAGTGGGGACAGCGAGTAAGACGGGAGAAAAGCGACAGAAGAAAGGGCAACAGGAGGTTAGATTATGGGCATGCGTGGCTGGAAGTCTATTAGCCTGAGCAGACGGTGGAGGACGTTGAAGGATGGCAGGGTGTGTGTGTACGTGGATGAGGAAGAGAACGACGCTAGAGGATGGGGTGGGTTGAAGACTATCTCTATGATTCCCTACGATTCTTCCACACTCAATTTATCCTATGCAAAAACACACGTCACGCGTGGCTACAGCTCTATTGGTACTCTCTAAGAGAGAATCACTTGATGCGCTGCTGCAGCGCCATCCATTAAGCTCCTAATAGTGCTCTCTGAGGCGCACTCACTTGATGCCCTGCAGCGACACGAGGATGGAGCGCCACTGCACGAGGTTGCGAATGGATTCGTATACTGCCTGCGCTTGCTCGTAGCCCACTGGGGGGTACTGCAGCTGTTGGGGAGAGGAAGGGGGGAGGTGTGTGGGAGACGGGGAAGCGGTAAGGGATGTGCAGGGAGAAAAAAGTAGAGGCCACTGCGCAGGCAGTATACCACTCTGTGCAGTATACCACTCTGCGCAGTATACCACTCTGTGCAGTATACCACTCTGTGCAGTATACCACGTGGTTCGTCCCTCACAGAGTGGTATACTGCAGAGAACAAGGGGGGAGGTGTGTGGGAGACGGGGAAGCGGTAAGGGATGTGCAGGGAGAAAAAAGTAGAGGCCACTGCGCAGGCAGTATACCACTCTGTGCAGTATACCACTCTGTGCAGTATACCACGTGGTTCGTCCCTCACAGAGTGGTATACTGCAGAGAACAAGGGGGGAGGTGTGTGGGAGACGGGGAAGCGGTATACTGCCTGCACTTGCTCGTAGCCCACTGGGTGTATTGCAGCTGTTGGGGTGGGTGGGGAATAAGCGGATGGAGGAAGAAGGAACGAAGGGGGAGGGAAAACGCAGAGAACAAAGAAGGGCACACGATGTGGAAAGCTTTACCCCGCAAGGCCAATGCACGTTGCATTGAAAGAACTTACCCGCCGCCAGACGAAGGGCGAGTCCCCAGTGACGCAGATGCTGCAGCAAGAGCCTGCACCTGGACGGATCCGGGCAGCTGCATACATACTTGTGTTATTCCCGGATACGTCCTGTTCATGCATGACACAAGTATGTATGCTTCCTACACGGCAAGACAACTGTGCGCCAACCCATCCCGCACAGCACGCTGTATGAAACCGGCCTACCCGCCAGACGAAGGGCGAGTCCCCCGTGACGTAGATGTCGTAGCGAGGCTGCACCTGGATGGACGGAGAGGAGTATGCATACAGATGAGGCAACACATGTAGTGTGTCGCATCGACTCACCCGCCAGACAAAGGGCGAGTCCCCCGTGACGTAGATGTCGTATCGAGGCTGCACCTGGAAGCCTCCGGCCATCTGCACTGATATGATGAACCTGCGCAGGGGGAAGGAAGGAGTACGTGGGGGTTAAGAGCGGTGCGGTGGGATGCGGTGGAGATGAGGGGGGGGGATGCTTTGAGACGACTAAGAAAGCATTTGGAAAGGGCCGGCCTGTTGCACTGACTTTTGAGGCGCCTCAAAAGCCGTCTCTACATAAAATTGTTCACTTGCTCTCCCATTGCCATGTCCCACCACATGAGGATGCGGATGAATTGGATGGTGAGAGAGAGCACATCCAGCCACTACTCACCACGCCACTTACTCACCACTTGCGCACCAATCCACTCACCACATGATGATGCCGATGAACTGGATGGTGAGTGAGAGCACATCCAGCCAGTTCCACAGCGTTCGGAAGTATGATGTGATCTGAGGGGATGGGGGGAAGGGAAGTGGAGGGGAGGGGAGGGAGAGAACGCAAGGTTCCGTAAGGGAGAAGGAATGGCATTTGAGGCGAGGAAAGGCCGGCATCAAATTACAGAAGCAGCACCCATTCACTCTCCCGGTCTCAAGCCATCAGAGGAGCACAACTGAGCTCACGCACTCACCCTGCCTGTCTCCAGCCAGCACTGAAACGCCTCCACGAGCTCCTCTATGAGGTTCCACACCACCGCGCACACGTACAGCACCGACACTGTGAGGCGCACCCAGTCGGCACTGGACGAGTAGAGCTCCACGTCCACCGGATCCACGTTGTACGTGACTGCGATCTTGCCCCCGATCTGTGGGGAGGGGGTTGAGGGTGGGTCTATGTTTAAGATGCCCCAAGTTCACCCGGTCGCTGGTCGGCACTGGAGGCGTAGAGCCCTCCACGTCTACTGGGTCCACATTGTACGTCACTGCTATCTTGCCCCCGATCTGTGGGGAGAGGGGGGGGAGAGGGCGATGGAGAGGGCGATGGAGAGGGGAAGGGGCCTCAATAATGGACCACGGCACACACATACAGCACCATCACAGTCAGCCGCACAGTCGGCACTGGACGAGTAGAGCTCCACGTCCACCGGGTCCACATTGTATGTCACTGCTATCTTGCCGCCGATCTGTGGGGAGAGGCAGGGAGAGAGAGAATGCTTTCAGGCTGATTCAGCAGTCACCTCAGGACACAAGAAGAGGGAGGAGAGTGTATGTCACTGCGATCTCACCCCAAAGGAGAGGGTGAGTTCCAGGTGTCGATCCAACAGGAATGCAGGTAGGAGAAAGTGGATTTCTGCTAGCACTACATTCCGCAGCCCTCTACGAAACCACTCCACACCCTCAGACTGCGTATGAACTTCAATGCTTAGAACGACGCAGTTTGATTAAGGCTGTGGAATCGTACCCGCAAGCAACCCTCTAAGAACTTCAATGTTTAATGCCATTGTTGTGTAAAACTGGGCCGCACACCCCCTGAACGGGTGTCATAACAGTGCGGGATGGTGCAACAAGGGGCTGTACATGGGACAAGTGTGGAGCAGCTGTGAACTGACCTCAAAGTTGAGTTTCACGGTGGTGTACACAAACAGACTGGAGTCGCCTGTGGTGGGTGGGTGGAGGGTGTAACAGGGGGTATTGCAAGAGAAGGAAAAACTTATAAGTCGATGCAAGAGGTGTTGTGCCAGGGAAGGAAACACATGAGCCGATCAAAATGACATTCTAAGGGGAAGCAAAAGCAAGGCACAAAGAGCGAGCAGAATGTGCAGGATCAGGAGGAAATGGGAGAAAAGGGAGAAAAGGGAGAAAGAGAGCAAAGACAATGCTATCATTGCAAGGCAAGGATCATGAGCACACGCACGCACCGTTGTAGGTGAGCATGGCGACGGAGCATGCCACCACCGCTGTTGTGTGCGCTGGGCCTGAGCCCATTTTTGAGGTGCCTCAAAAGGTAGCTATCTTCACAGCACAACACACCACACAGACTCACGCACCGTTGTAGGTGAGCATGGCGACGGACACGGACTGCGTGGCGTTGTCGATGAAGAAGCTGTCCGCCAGATACTGCAGGCGCTGCGTGGCCGCCTCGTTGTCCAGATTGATGTCGAATATCACCGGGAATACCCTCTCGTTCGCCTGGTGGTATGGAGGGGTTGGGGGCTGGTGCCAGATTGCTTGGTGCCATGACCACGCTCTTGCCAGGCTGGCGAGAAGAGGCTGGCGAGAAGAGGCTGGCGAGAAGAGGCTGGCGAGAAGAGGCTGGCGAGAAGAGGCTGGCGAGAAGAGGCACTCACCTTGGCGACTTGGAAGCCATATGGCACGCCGTCAGGCCGCGTCGCGATTGGCTGCATGGTGTCCACGTCAGCGCTGGTTAACGAGTCGTTGAGCGCCACGTAGGCGTCAGGGAGGTAGAGCGAGGACGAGGGCAGGAAGTGTGGGTTGACGCCAAAGGGAGCTGTGGATATGCGGTTCATGCAGTTTTGGAAGAGGGAGGAGAACCTGGGGGATGGGTGGGAGGGAGAGGAGGGGGAGAGAGAGGTTGGGAGCTTGCTTGCTGAACGGTTGGGACTGCAGTGGACATGCCGTTCATGCAGTGCAGGAAGTTAGAAGTGGACCTCGGGGGTGGAGAGGGAAAGTGGAAGGGGGAAGAGAGGGGGTTGGGCGTGTTGAGAGGGAGAGTCCTCTGAACACGTTGTTAATGCCGGCAGGTGCACATGCTGCTGATGCAGTGGTGGAAGAGGGATGAGAACCGGGGTGGAGGGGAGGAAGCAGAGAATGGAGATTTGAGGCAACTTAAAGCAAGAAAGTGGAAGTGAGGGGAATCAAGGATGGAGAGGAGAGAAGCACGGGGAGGGAGGGGGGGGTGATATTTAACATGCTGACCTGGATGGCTAACATGCTGACCTGGATGGCTAACATACTGACCTGGATGGTGGACATGCTGACCTGGATAGGTGTCCGGCTGACCTGTATGGCTGGCAGGTTACAGCGTCCCACCGGGTCTGCTCGATTTTCAGTCCTATCAGCACCCTGCCATGCACCACATGCCATGCACCACATGCCATGCACCACATGCCATGCACAATGCACCATGTGCCGTGCAGCACGACATGAATGCCCCATGGAAGCAGGCTCAACGTCAGTTAGTAGATAGAAAGCACTAAAAAACCCGGTCCTGCCTCTAGCTGTACCCAGTCATCTGGCCAGGGCTACCCTACAGAAACAGCTAGTTATCCTATACTTTTTTCATACCCTCTCTTCTCTGTCCATCCGTCTCACACCTCCTGAACACCTAACCTCCCCCTCTCCCCTCCCCTTCTCCATTCCTCCTCTCTCAGCCTCCCCCTTCCTCACCTGCTCTGGTCCGCCACTAGGTACAGCGCCACCTCCTTTTAAGAATTTCAAGAGTGGTGCAAGCATAGCCATCTCCCCTCCCCCTCTCCCCCCCTTTCCCCCCACCCCACCTGTTCTGTTCCGCCACGAAGCGAGACAACGCCACCTCCTCCGTGCCGTTTGCTGACGACGCATTGCCCGCAGCCGCGGCACCAGGCGCAGCTGCTGACGTGGCATTAGCAGCCGACGCAGCTGCTGACGTGGCATTGCCAGCAGACATGGCTGCTGACGTGGCATTTGAGAACATGTCGAGGGTGAAGGGGAAGGAGAGGCCATCCCCTATGGCTGACGTCATGCAGCATGCTGGGTGGAGGGGGGCCATGCAATCGAGGTAAGTGGAGAGGGAGAGGGGGGGAAGTGGAAGGAGGGTGAGGAATGAGTCTGGTGCCGAAAAAGGGTGCAAAAGTTGGTGGCAGAAAGCGGGGATTGGAAAGCGGGGACTGGAAAGCAGGTGTTGGGACAGAAACTGGGAGATGAAATGGTCACTGCTGCTCACCATCTGGCTGACCAAGTGGCTATTCATGTGTTGCCTCAATACTTTCCAATTTCCACCATCTTCCCATCTCTCCCCACCACCCATCCCTTCCCACTGCCCATCTGCACCCACCACCCATCACCACCAGCCGCCGTATCACTCACCTCCTTCGTCCGACCGAACCTGTCAGTGAAAACAGGGGCAGTACTGCGGGCAGAGCAGACCACTTGTGAGGTGCATCAAAACTCCCCACCAAACTATCACCACCCACCGCCCATCTTCCCCCCACCGCCCATCCCAACCGCCCATCACCGCCCAACACCCTATCACTCACCTCCTTCGTCTGACCGAACCTGTCCCGGAGGACAGGGACAGTACTGCGGCCGGGCCACGAATCCCACCGGACCTAACCCCGAGCCTGGGACCGAGCCTGAAGCTACGGGTGCAGGCTCGGGAACGGACGTGGACGGCAGGGCGCATGAGCAGTCCCCGCCGTCAAAAGCACACGCGTCGACGTTGCAAGATGGGTTGCATTTTCCGTCTGCTAGCAAGGAGAGGAGGCAGCCTGGCGCACATTCTATTGGCTTGCTGGATTGACCAACGGCGGCGCGGGAACGGGAGGCAGAGGAGGGTGAGGAGGGGGAGGACGGCGAAGAGGCAGAGGAGGAGGAAGAGAGGGGGAGAACGGTGACAGAGCCTCGCGTAGGCTCCCCCATGCGTGAACACTCGTAGACGAAGGTCCCGGGCACAGGGAAGACCGTGGTGTAGGAGAAGGGGATGGGGGGGGACGAGGCAGCAGCGCTGGTGGTGGGACCTGCGATGATAGGGGGGAGAACAGTGTGAGAGTGAGGGGGGAAGGAGGGAGTGAGGAAGTAGGCGGGTGAAGGAGTTGAAATTGCAAGTGGCCATGCAGAAAAGAGTGAGCTCAGAGGGGGGGGATGATGGATGGAGCCTTGAGTGAGTGAACAAGGGGATTGAATGTGTGGGTGGGTTCAAGTGTTCAGGAACGTGAGGGGGCATGGGAGCACGGGAGCATGGGAAAACGACTGCACAGGTCCCCCAACCCAACCCACTGAGGACACAGGGCGCAGGATCAGCGGTGGACGCGTGTGAGCCGTTGATGAGCGTCGCCGTGGTCCCCACGTTCTCCGCACTGCATGCCACGTCAGCACTCAAGACCAACCGGCCGCTGCCCATGCCATAGAAAGGAGTGGATGCTGCATCCCCAAACCCCGCCACTGAAGGCGGGGAGGTGGAAAAAAGGAGGCGAGGGGGGGAGAGTGATTAAACAGGTTTGAGCTTTGAGATTACGTGTCAAAACTAGAGGGAAATCGCTGCTGCGTCCCTGAATCCCGCCACTGATGGGGCAGGTGAAAGAAAAAAAGATACACGGGGAAAGAGGGATCAATCGAATGAGGTTCGAAAAACGGGTATGGGAGGGAAGGATGAATGGAGAAAGAGCAATGTAAGATCCATGGTGTGGGGAGAGGGAAAAGGAGAGGTGACAGGCTCACCGACCCCACCGGCATGGCATTGCATGGTAGTGCATGGAACACACAGCATGGGCACGAGATTCGCATTGCAAAAGTAGATGCACGGTGCACCCACCATTGATGGCATGCGGCTGGCTGTCCGCCCACACCCATGAGACTCGCTCCTCCACTGGCATGCCATTGCATGGCATTGCAAGGCAATGCATGCACACAGCACAGCATGGTAAGGAGATTCAGCGCTGCAACAGTAGGTGCACCCACCGTTGATGGCATGGGGTTGCCCATCCGCCCACACCCATGTGACTCGCTCCCCCACCGGCACCACCGTGCTGGGCTGCCTGCTCGCCCCCCACATCACTGTGGGACCTGTGGCTGGTGGTGGGGCATGGCAAAACACACAAGGGAGAGACTTGAGACGAGCCAGATGTCGTGGCATGGAATACAAGGCAGTCAGCACCACCGTGCTGGGCTGCCTGCTCGCCCCCCACATCACTGTGGGACCTGTGGCTGGTGGTGGGGCATGACATGGCATGGCATGGCACACCAGGGAGAAAGCACCATCGTGCTGGGTTGCCTGCTCGTCCTCCACATCACTGTGGGACCAGTGGCTGGTGGTGGGGCATGACATGGCATGGCATGGCACACCAGGGAGAAAGCACCATCGTGCTGGGCTGCCTGCTCGCCCCCCACATCACTGTGGGACCAGTGGCTGGTGGTGGGGCATGACATGGCATGGCATGGCACACCAGGGAGAAAGCACCATCGTGCTGGGCTGCCTGCTCGCCCCCCACATCACTGTGGGACCTGTGGCTGGTGGTGGGGCATGACATGGCATGGCATGGCACACCAGGGAGAAAGCACCATCGTGCTGGGTTGCCTGCTCGTCCTCCACATCACTGTGGGACCCGTGGCTGGTGGTGGGGCATGGCAGCGTGTATGGCACACATGGTAAACCGTAAGACATACAGGGGAGTGACATGAGATGAGAGACCGTCCCCTCCCCACCCACACCACACCCACCATCCCCATCCATCCCCATCCCCTCTTCCATCCCCACACTCACCAGTGGTGCCGCAGGCAGGGAGGAGCAGACAACTCACCCGTCCTTATCCCAATCATCCCAATTCCCCCCCCCGCCCCATCCCCAACCATCCCCACACCACACTCACCGGTGGTACCGCAGGAAGGCAGAGACTGGTCCACGACCACAGCGTCAAGTGCGTGCAGCAACCGGGCGGCATCTGCCACGTCATCGTCCGGCAACAGAACGACGGACTTGAGCGCTGCGGTGAGGAGAAGGACGAAACGCGCCGCCTGGTCCCGAGATAAGTGGTACGTCTGATTGCTGCAGTGGGTATGCACAGTGAGTTGAAGAAGAGAATGATAAAAGGAGTGAGTAAAGGGAGGGAGAGCGAGAAACGGAGTGAGAAAGGGAGGGACATGCAAGATAGACGTTCAATTGCAGGTTTTTAGTCGGGAGAAAGCAAAGGAATAGCAGAGAGCGGATGCAGTGTAGGCAATTTGAGAAAAGCAGAGAGAGGAGAGAGAAGGTGATTGGAATCGGTGTTGCTTTTGAGAATTCTCAAAAGCAACAGTATGCAACCCCACCACATTGAACCACAACACCTGCATTGCGATCTGAGTTAGCCTAGAAATCAGGCAACTCACAGCGCAACAGTCCAAGGCACGTCGGCCGCCAGCTCAGAAGCAGACACCAGCTGCCGCCCGTCCCACGATGAAGTGTACTTGCACTCGGGCACTTTCCGAGCAGCTTCCTCCCCAGCAAAGAGCACGCAGAGGAAAGCAGCAAGGCGGGACCGAGAGGACAGGGAGAGGATGACAGGCGGGAGGATAGCAGGGGAGGAGGGGCGCGTGGAGCGGCGAGTGGAGGCGAGAGAGGAGCGAGAGGAAGGAGAGGAGGGAGAGGAGGGAGGGGAGGGAGGGGAGGGAGGGGAGGGGTTGGCCCGGGGAGAGAAGAGGGGGGAGCCAACGAGGCAGTCGTCCTTGACAGCTGTGTAGAGGGCTCGGGCGACTGCCACGTGGAGGCTCGTGATTCGCTGAGAGTCGGTGGAGCCAAGGTGAGTCCAGATGCTTGTGGCGTTGCCTGGAGGGGGGGGGGGGCGTGCGGGAGGGGGTGAGGGGAAGGGGTGAGGGGAAGGGGTGGTTAGGAGGTGCAGTCGTGGGTGTGCTCTTGGAGAGCGGGCAGGGAGTGGTGGTGTGATGGGAAAAAACAATCGACACTAGTGCGCTTTTTAGGTGCTTCACAGTACCAAATTTCCAAAGCACCTCAAAAAAGGGCCGACACTCATGCATTCTTACCCACCAGGCAAAGCAGCAAGCGAAGAGGCAACAGCAGCAGTAGCAGTGACCTCTGCCAGGCGTTTCCGGCCCTGGAGCCGAGCCTGCTGCCGAGCCTGGTGCCATGAAGAGGTTTGGCTGACAGCCTGTGCTGCCTGCTCCCAGAGGCTCCGAGCCTTCCTCTGAAGAATGAGAAGGTGTGAGAATAGGTAGGAATGGGCGAGGAAAGGGTGAGAAGGGTTGAGAAGGGGTGCGAGCTGAAGAAAGGTGTGAGAATAGGAGCATCGGGGAAGGGATGGCGCAAAAGTCAGCAAGGAGAAGACAAGGGGAGAGGGCGGAAAGAAAGACGTTTCGCACTTTGATGCAATGGTTTGAGATGCCGAGAGGATGGGAAAAAGCAGAGCGAGAAAAGGGAGGCATGGGTGTGACTGCAGCTGAAAAAAGCGCAAGGGGGGGTGAGGAATATGCTTGGAACACAACACAAAACGAAAGAGGCAGAGAAGAGGTGACGGGAGGGGCAGGCGAGAAGGGTTATGGATAAGTGCGAGGTTAAATGGAAGGGGGAACCTGTGGGTTGTATGCCTACCCCTGTGGTGAGCGTTGAGTTGGGGGGGTCTGAAAGAGCAACGCGGGGCACAGAGGAGCACGACAACAGGAGAAAAGAAGAGGAGAGCAGGAGAGTGAAGAGGAGAGGAGACAAGAGGGGAGGAGAGGAGAGGAGAGGGGAGAGAGGAGACGAAAGCAGAGGAGAGAAGGGGCGATGAGGAGAGGAGACAAGAGAGAAGGGAGGGGAGGGGAGGGTAGAGGAAGGGAGAGGAGAGGAGAGGAAACGAGACAAGTGAGAGCAAGAAGATGCAGAGTGTTAACACTTCATGCACATTCTAAAGTTTATTCTGTTTTTGTTTTCTTTTCCGTTTTGGGGCAAACTCACACAAGCAAGAAGAAAGGAAGCGAGGAAGGTGAGAGAGCAAGTGAGGGAGAGAACAAGCAAGAGGGCATGGAGGCTCACAGGAGCACTGGAAGCCTGCAAGGCTGTCTGCAGTGGCGTTGATTATCTGTGCGGCGAGAGGAGCAGAGCGTAGAGGGGCATAGTAATGACAATGGAGGGGAGCATAGTGACAGGGGCAGAGGGGCATCGTGACAGGGGCAGAGGGGCATGGAGGCAGGGGTAGAGGGGCAGGGCTGAGAATATGAGGGATGGGGCATGGCAACATGGGCAAAGGAAGGCTCAATGGGATGGTGGCAGTGGGAACGGACATGCAACGAGAGTGGATGCGAGTGCTATTGTGATAGAGTGAGCGAGTGGGGGAGGGAGTGAATGTGAAGGAATGGCGAGAAAGTGCAATCACAGCACAGCAGTATAATATATATTGCACGTCAGCGCAAGAAAGTACTGTTAGAGCCAGGAAAGGCTGGGAGGAATTGTTGTTGCAGGCAGAGGCGCATGTGCAAAAGAGGGAACCAAGACGGCATGCTAGCGAGGTGATGTGTGCATTTCAACCCATGAGTCGACTCCCTTACCTCAGCGCAAGAGAAGTCACTAAAGGGCAGGAAGGGCAGGGAGGAGTTGTCGTTGCAGGCAGAGGCGCAGGTGACAAAGAGCGAGGAGAGTGCTGCTGGGGAGTACCCTCCCGCCCCACAGTGGTTGGCCAGACAGCCTGCAAAACGCGAGCAGGCCTGCAGGCAGGTAGGAGAGGAGGGGGTGAGAAGGGGGAGAGAACTTGGGACCTGCATGGCAGGGGAGGGGAGTACCCTCTCCGCCCCCACAGTAGTTGGCCAGACAGCCTGCATTGCAAGCAGGCCTGTGGGTAGGATAGGGAGGGCGAGGGCGAGGAGAGGGGAGAGGCCGAATTAGAACAGCAGGGTGAGGTATCAAAACACTAGCCGACCAAGAAGCCTGTAAAGCACAAGCAGGCCTGCAGGCAGGAATGCAAGGGAGAGGGGCAATGAGAGGGGTGTGTGAGAAGGGTATGTGCAAAAAGTGTGTGGGGAGGGGCATGCATCAAAGGGGCATGTCTCACACACTCTCTCACACTGTCCCACACTGTCTCACTCACCGATCGGCATTCGGACAAGGGAGTGAGGTCTGACGTTTGGCATCCTCCCCACGTCACCAGCACCTTCCCAATACCGCCAATACTGTCACCGCTGCCACTGTTGCTGCTGCTGCTGTTTCCGCTGCCGCTGCTGCTACCTCCAAAACCAGCAGCAGCGACTGCAGCAGCAGCAAAAGCGGCGTTTCTGCTGCCGGTGAGTCGGAGGGTGCCGGCGATGCCTCCCCCCGGCGCATTGAGCACGAGAGACCACGAGCCGTCTGGCAGTGCGAGTGTGACCTGCGTGTCCGATGCTAGCTCTGTGAACTGCTGGTCCTCTGCGTACCTGGCGATAAAAAAAGGGTGAAACGGCGTGAAAAGGGGTGAAGTGGCTCCGGGAACAGAGGGAGAAGTTGCAACGTGTGTTGTACGAGCGAGCGTGCCTTGCATATCCGATGCCAGCTCTGTGAACTGGTGATCCTCTGAGTACCTGGTAAGGTGATGGGTGAGAAAGAGGGATTGACCAGCAACAGAAACATACGGAGGAGCGATCATGCGTTGCCTTGTATGTCCGATGCCAGCTCTGTCAACTGGTGACCCTCTGCGTACCTGGTGACGTGAGGGGGGGGGAGTGGGAAGGAGGGTGGGGCGCGGAAGGAGCAGAGAGGCGAGGGCAGAGAATGGAGAGATAGCAGCAGTCAGGGGGCCAAAGGGGTACCAGCAGAGAGGGGAGGGCGGGTGGGGGGAAACCAGCATAGAGGAGAGGGCGGGTGGGGGGAAACCAGCATAGAGGGGAGGGCGGGTGGGGGGAAACTAGCATAGAGGGGATGGAGTGTCGCAGCAGAGGTTCCAGGAGGAGGCAGCAGCGTCGAGGGCAGAGAGGGAAAAAAGGCAGGCAGAGGCACACCAGCAGAGAGGCAAGAGGCAAGAGAAGGGAGGGCGGAAGAGAGTACCCACCAGCAGAGAGGGGTGGGGGCGTCGCGGCAGAGGTTCCAGGAAGAGGCAGCGGCATCAGTGGGAGAGTGGAAGTCGGTAGTGAGGTGCACTGTCACGCTCGTCACTGCCGCCAGGTCCCCACAGTCCGCCGAGCAGCCGAAGCGGCCGAATGCTTCGAATTCTAGGGGGCGCTCACAGATGCCGTTGCCGCATGGAGGGTCCTTCCACACCACCTGGTGTGTTGCAGGCAAGAGCGGGAGGAAGGGGGAGCGGAACAAGGGAGTATGGCGGCGGGGTGTGGCCCAGAGGCTTCAAACTCGAGAGGGCGCTCGCTCGCAGGTGCCGTTGCCACAGGGAAGGGAGGGTCCTTCCACACAACCTGGGAGGGTTTGTGGTGGGCAGTGGGAGTGGATAGTGGGTAACGCGCAGACAGCAGCGGAATTTTAAGGCCTCTGCCGTTTACAAGCACATAAAGATGCCGATGGCTCACGCGGAACACACGGTGGGAGTGCGGGAGGGGTGGGTAGTAAGCGATTGGGAATGAACAGCTGTTGGGAGGCAGAGGAATGAACAGACAGAATTGGGAGGCAGCGCTATTGCTGACTGGTATCGACCATGGATGGATGGAGAGCATTGATGGAGAGCATCGACCATACGCACCTGTATGATGCTGTCGTTGAGCCATGTGTAGAAGTCGTCTGGACTGTTCATGGTCATGGATGCTGCTGCCATGTAGTCCTGAGAGCAGAGGGAGGGAGAGGAGAGAGAGGGAGGAAAGGTGTCAGCTGTCATTGATCCATGAGTAGAAGTCGTCTGGACTGTTCATGGTCATGGATGCTGCTGCCGTGTAGTCCTGAGAGCAGAGGGAGGGAGAGGAGAGAGAGGGAGGAAAGGTGTCAGCTGTCATTGATCCATGAGTAGAAGTCGTCTGGACTGTTCATGGTCATGGATGCTGCTGCCGTGTAGTCCTGAGAGCAGAGGGAGGGAGAGGAGAGAGAGGGAGGAAAGGTGTCAGCTGTCATTGATCCATGAGTAGAAGTCGTCTGGACTGTTCATGGTCATGGATGCTGCTGCCGTGTAGTCCTGAGAGTGAGTTGGGCATTAGAATGAAGACAGGTGTGGGTGGAGGGGGGAGGGGGGGGGGGAGAGACAGGGAGGGTTCGACGCCTGATTCGGGTTCGCAGGCAAATGCGCACAGATGAAGCACACATGCGCGTGTCACGCATGCATGCACACATGCACACACACCCACCCCCCTGTATGCGTGCAACACTCATCCCTTCTACACACACCCACACTCCCACGAACGGGCGGCAGCAGCACGTTGTGGGCGGTGGTGAGCAGGTGGAGGCGACATGAGAACAAACGCACACACATATGCACACTACCCGCCTTACTCTCCCCTCCTCCTTAAACACACATCCCCACACGCACGGGCGGCAGCAGCACGTTGTGGGCGGTGGTGACTTGGTAGCAGATGGAGGCGTCGGCTTGCAGGTAGAGCACGGTGAGGTAGAGGCACGTGTAGCAGAGGAAGAAGAATAGATTCTTGAAGTTGTCCGTCAGCTCTCCCATGTGCTTCACCCGCTCGTACATGGCTGGGAAGGGGGGTGGGGAGGAGGTGGAGAGAACGGGGAGCGGGAGAGAAAATGAGGACGGTGGGGTAGAGACAGGTGTAGCAGAGGAAGAAGAACAGGTTCTTGAAGTTGTCTGTCAGTTCTCCCATGTGCTTCACTCGCTCGTACATGGCTGGGGAGGGGGGGTAGAGGAGAGACAGTGAGAAGAAGGAGGGAGAGATCGGAGAGCACGGTGAGGTAGAGGCAGGCAGGTGTAGCAGAGGAAGACAAAGAGGTTCTTAAAGTTGTGTGTTAGCTCTCCCATGTGCTTCACTCGCTCGTACATGGCTGGGAGGGAGAGAGGAGAGGCAGCGAGGAGAACGCGGAGAGAGAGGAGCGAGGAGAACGCGGAGAGAGAGGAGCGAGGAGAACGCGGAGAGAGAGGAGCGACAACACAGTGTGGTAGGGGCAGAGGAAGAAGTCAACTCGCCCATGTGCTTCACGAGCTCAGGGGGAAGTTGGGGGCATGAGGGGAGAGAGGGCGGGAGCGGTAGAGGGAGGGACAGGGAGACGGGGAAAAGGGGTTGAAGAGTAGAGGAGAAAGAGGAGGGAGAGAAGAGACAGGCGTAGCAGAGGAAGAAGAGGAAGTCCTCAAACACCTGGGTTAATCAATCACTTCAGCTCAACCAGAATCTCAAGCTCCCAATCGCTGCACACACCCTGAATAACCTCCTGATGGAGTTTCTCCTGAGACATAGTCACCAAAGGCACCTCAAGCTCCTGACGGCTGCATGCACCTTCATTACCCCCCTGGTCAAGCTTCGACTTGACTCAAGAATCACCTGACGGCTGCACGCACGTACCCTGAATAACCTCCTGGTCGAGCTTCTCCCGCTGCTCCGCCTCCTCGTTGTACCCATCATCCCCCTCCCCCTCCCCGTCCCCGTCCCCGTCCCCGTCCCCGTACCCCTCCTCCCCGTCCTCCGCGCTCCCCCTCCGCCGGTCCGCGAACGACACCATGCCCTTGCCGCTGCGCGACGCTTTGAGACTCCGCATGGCCGCCAGATTGACATCGCTGTCGTCTCGAATCGCGTCTTCTGCACCATCCTCTGACCCATCCTCCTCCTGATCCTCCTCATCCCCCTCATCATCATCATCATCATCATCATCCGTCTCCTCCTCTTCCTCATCTTCCGTGTTCTCCGCCGACCCCCCTTCCCCCCGCTCCTCCTCCGCCTGTCCACCGTCGCGCGCGTCTCGCGGCTCCATCGCGTGGCTCTCCCACGGGGTGAACATCGCCCGCGGGGTGAACATCGCCTCGTGGTCGTCATCGCAGTCTAAATACTCCCCATCGTCATCCTCATTGTCGTCGTCCCGAAACGCGACGGCCAGCTTCCCTCGGCCATGGTGACCGTGTGGGGTGCTAGCAGATGTGACATGTGAAGAACTCCCGAGGGGGTCTCTTTCGGATTTCCCTACGCCGTCGGGTCGTTCCCTTGCGGAATTGCCTACACCGCTGGTTCGTTCCGCAGCTTCGCGCGGCCTCTCCGCTGCGCCAGGAGGGTGTCTGGCGGAAAACGGGAATGGCGGACAGGACAGCGGGGTAGTCAAGGAGGGTGCGCGGTAGAAAGAAAGAGCCGTTAGGAGTCGAGAAATGCAGGCCGATAACATTAAAGAAGAAACACTAAGCTTGAAAGAAAGCTTACAGTCGTTGCAAAACGATGTGTAATCTGTATCGAGTGCGTGCAACTAACCACTGTAAACTGATGGCGATACACTCCTACCTAAATCTAGCAGACATTTGTGCGTGTTGCTGCTGCCGGCCCTGATTCTCCCTTCCAGGTTGCGAGAGACGTGACGATGGTCCGACTGATGCTGGCGATAAGACGGCCGCGTTATGGTCACGCGGCGTGCCAGACGACGACTGTGCGGAGCTGGTTCGCTGAACGTTCTGACCTGGCGACTGGTTGTCGCGATGCCACCTTACCACAGTCGCTTCCGCCATGGATAGTTTTCAAGAAGAGCTATAAAACTTAGCACTCAATTCGAAACAGAGCCGTGCATTTTCTGGGTCACACTCGAGACGTCCTAAGTTTAGGACCAAACACAGCATCTGTTGTCACCAGCTGATTACACCAGGTACTGTTTGAATTCTCTGGAGACTGGTGTGTTGTGTCTGGACTGTCAGGATGTGCCAATTGCTGGATATCAGTATGCGCGCCGAACCACCAGACCGGATGATATCGGTGCTTCCGCGCTCTATGAACAGGCGGAAGCGGCAGGGGTTGAATGCAAGGCGTGGGGAAAGTGATGTGCGGGGAGACACAGCACAGGGGGGCAGGGGGCAATGCGCAGCGCAGACTTGTGTGGCTGTCGGCAGCTGAGAGGTTGCGGAGGAAGCGGGGTGTCTGCCAAGCCGAGCTGAGTATCCATCCGCGCCTCGTTGGAAATCGGTGTGGAATTTTTGGGAAAGCATAGGGTTCATCCATTTCCGCTATAGATTCTTCAGGCACAGCGTGTAACATGCTTAACACCGTGTTACATTATTTACTTCTGATCTATGCCTTTGCTAACATTCTTACTACAATTGACCAGTGAACTGCTATTCCATGCAGGTTTCCACCTGGTTAGATTACCTTCATTTCGAAGTTAATTGCTGCTCTCAAACAGTCAAATCCTCATCAGCAACCGGGGTGAAAACTAGTAGCCTTCAAATTTGGACGAGCTAGGCTAGCGCCGTGAGCGAGAGTTAGCGCTTGCTTGACTAATCAGTCGCTCTAGCTGGACCAGTAGAACGATCAGCATGGCACACAGGATGACATGGGTTGGTTGTATCTTGGACAAGAACTTGTCAGCGTCACCCAGGGTCTGGTTGAGCACTTTCACCTGTGCGAAGACAGAGCCGAAGGAGGAACAAGATTTAATCCCAACACACAAAATATAAACATACAATCACAGCGACAAAATAATCAGAGGTACTGACCATGTTTCTGTGATACGGCCTGACATAACGCCATGCGCCTTCGTTTGGCCGAAGACCAATCCGCACAAACAGGAGATACAGCTGCGAAAACTGGTACAAAGAGAAAACACCAGCGAACATCGCCAACGGCGGGGCAAGAAGAATCAGAATCGGCCACATGGCGCTATCCATCGTCGACGAACTATTACTGCTGATTCTAACAAGTCTGGCGTAGTGCTGCGTGCGGAGAACTAGGAGGTGGGGTGCGGATTCACGGGAAAGCTGCAGACAGGAGGAGCACTTCGTGCAGAGAACAAGGAGGTGAACGCGAATTCAAGACCAAGCTGCAGTTTAGAATCTGGAGACTGTGGAGGGAGCGAAGAACGAGTCTGGCGCGAGATGCATGCAGACCGTCACGGTCAGGTTAGGGCTGTCGGAGAGATCTAGGGCGTGGAGGCCGAGTTGCGGTTTGGGCATGAGATCAGGGCGTGAAACTCGAGCCAAGCGAATGCTCCACCACACCACAACGGATGGCAGTTCCCGACATAGAGCTTGTTGTCACATCAAGTGAACAAAATACGAGTAGCCAAAGTGTGTTGCGTGATATAGCTTGTTATATCCCATAACAATGGCCCATAACAAGCGTATGCTCGGAAGCACAATGGCCCATGGAAAACAAACTTATTGAAGTAAAAATAATTACATTACATCAGGCTCAGCTCTCAAAATGAATGCAAGTTTTCTTCAAATTCAAGGTGCATGCTGGGTCAAAGTTCGGATGGAATGTTTTAAGAGATTACAAACGGAAAACGGTGAACTCTGTGAACGACCACCTCCATCCAACCAGTGTGTCGATCTCCTCATCCACTCTTCGCTCCCTCGATATTGACAAGCCGCCAACCTGCCACCATCCCACCTGACACTCCTCTCTGCCACCCCACCACAAACCACCCTCCATTGAGTTGTTCTTAGGCTGACGCAGCAATTCTCGCGTCTTCTACATCCACTTTCCACCTTGTAATTTCTCCCGCAGCTTCCGCGCTCTCTCCTCGTCCATGCCACCTCAGCCCAGTCGCAGGCACGCCGCCACGGCTCGCAGCAAGGATCCGCCGCCTGTCCCGCCGCAGGTGAAGGCCAAAAAGCGGCGCGGCATGTGGAGTTTCGGGCGACAGAGGCCCGGCGCGTCGCAGGTCCGTGCTGCTCGCTGTGACACCTTTGAATGCGAAATGTGGTGTAACACATACACCTGCTGCGATGCCGTGCGAGGCATCCGTCTACGAATGCCCTTCATTCACCACCCTCCATTCCCCGCGCCCTTCATTCACCACCCTCCATTCCCCGCGCCCTCCATTCACCACCCTCCATTCCCCGCGCCCTCCATTCCTCTCATCAGGTCCTCCCATGCGCGGCAGCGCTCGCCGCCTTCTTCGCGACGCTGCTCCTCGCCTCCGCCGCCGCCTTCTGGCTCGGCGCGCAGCCCGCGGCGGAGGCGCTCCTCCGCTCCCTCATCGCGCCCTCCGCCGCTCACCCCGCGCCAATAAGCGCGGAAGAGGAGCCTGGCGAATCTATTGATGGCGAGCCTATCAATGGCAAGTCTTCCGAGGGCGAGTCTATTGGTGGCGGAGCCACGCGGGGAACTGACGCTGCAGCAGCGTCCGCGTTTGGGAGTGATTCGTTTCTGCTAGAGGAGAACGCGTCCGTGCCTCAAATTTTGGAATTTGACCTGATCAAGACGTACCCGCACGACAGGAGGGCATTCACCCAGGCATGTTCCTGTCAGCCTCTGTTGCTTTCTACTCACCACTCTTCGCATTCCGGTCAAGTCGTACCCGCACGACCGCAGAGCCTTCACCCAGGCATGTTAATTTCGCCCGCGTTTCTCTTCTCTCCCTGTCCGTCTGCTCCCCACTCCGGGCTATCTGCTATCGCCCATGTTTAAGCCTCCTTTCTTCTCTCCCCACAGAGTCTGTGGCACGTGCACCATGAGGCAAGCAGTGCGTGGTGGGGTGCAAGGCGGTCGTTTCCATTTCCGCTGTGCATGCAATCCCAGTCATCCCAGTCATCCATTTCCATACCCTCTGTTCCCTAACCCCTCTCTTCTCTTCTCCTCCCCACCCACGCCTTTTCTCCTCTCTTCTCCTCTCTTCTCTTCTCCTCTCCTCCAATCCCTTTCCCCAGGGTCTGCTATACATGGACCATGAAGCGAGTGGGGGGAGGGGGAGCGGCGAGGGGGTGTTTTATGAGAGCACGGGGGAGTATGGGCGGGTGAGTGGGAGGATGTGCATGTGGGCGGGTGAGTGGGAGGATGTGCATGTGTGAGTGGGGCGCACATGTGTGAACGGGAGGGAACTCGCCCAAGGGCGAGAGGGAACTTGTCTGTGTGACTGGGCTGGGGGTAGGGAGATTTACGTCTGTCTCGGCAATCACAGAATCACTGTCCCTCTGCATTCCGTGGTCTTTGAGTCTGACCAATTCGCCCGTCCAGCATCATCCTGTGTTTCTGTCCTTCCTTCACCCTATCCCCTCTTGTCTCGGTCCCCCTTGCCCCTGTCCCCTTTTGTCCCCATTCCCCGGTGTTCCTGTTCCTCTTCTCCCCTTGCCCCTATCCTCCTTTCCCATGCACCCCCCCTTTCTTCCCGCGTGCAGTCGACAGTGAGGGAGGTGGATGTGGCCTCTGGTGAGGTATGCTGCATGCCATTGCATGGCAGATAGCATGGCATGGCATGACATAGAATGGCATGGCATGGCATGGCGTGGCAGATAGCATGGAATGGCATGACATTGAATGGCATGGCATGGCGTGGCGTGGCGTGGCGTGGCGTGGCGTGGCGAGGCGTGGCATGGCATGGCATCGCATGGCATGGCATGGCATCGCATGGCATAGCTTGGCGTGGCATGGCGTGGCATGGCATGGTATGGTGATGTTGTGGCATGCTCCCCTACGCTACCATCTGTGCCACCACAACAAGCAGCAACACAGATGTGCCACGTTGTGGCATCGTGTTCCCCCTCATGTAGGGTCCAGCTCGGTTTGCTGTGTATTAAGTTTGGTGGAGGGTATGGTCCAGCAGCAACGACCACCTGACCTGACACCTCCCACATTCTTTCCACTCATGTGCCTTCCCCTTCTCTCGCTCTCGCTCTCGCTCCCTCCCCAGGTGCTCAACAGCGTGCCTCAGAGTGCTGACGTGTTTGGCGAGGGTCTAGCACTGCATGATGACAGGTACGGTGCAAAACAGCACATGAACTTCATTGTAATGGTTTCACTGTTGTGCACAATAACATGTCTACTGCACAGTAACAGGTATGCGAGCCGGGCATGCAAAGTCAGGGCTGTACCAGCTGGCTTGGCATGCGAATCCAGGGCTCGTGTATGACAGAGGTACACAACTCTGAGATTCCTTTGCACCGCTCTTCACCCTTTGGCCCCGTTGTTCCTTCCTCTGTACCCCTTTGTGAACCGCGCAGGCTGTACCAGTTGGCCTGGCGGGTACGGTCAGGTTTGGTGTACGACAGAGAGACACTGCGACCACAGGGTGAGATAAAGGGAGGAAAAGGGAAGGGGGATGGGTGGTGTTATGGGTACGGGGAGCAGTTCTTGGATCTCTGTCATATGTATGATGTGAGCCGTCACGTGCCGCTCAGCACTCTGCCAGTCGCTGCCATGCCATGCCATGCCATGCCATGATGTGCGACACCGTGCCACACCATCTCGTGCCATACTGTGTCATTTGGTATTCCGTTTTTTGAGCTCTCAAAAGCGTTCCTCCCGTTCCCTCATATCGCCTGGCATCCCTGCTCTCCTGCTCACCCCGCTGCTTCCAGGCAGCTTCCAGCACGGCATGGCGGATGGGTGGGGCCTGGCAGTGCTCAACGGGTCGGTCATGGTCGGCACAGACGGCTCCTCCACGCTCTTCCACCTCGACTCATCATCCTTCAAAGGTTAGATGGGGGGGGGATCCTCAACCCTCACAACTCGGATGGGTGGGGCGTGGCAGTGCTCAACGGGTCAGTCATGGTCGGCACTGATGGCTCATCCACGCTCTTCCACCTCGACTCATCGCCCTTCAAAGCTTCCACCGATTCTTCCATCTCCGGTCCTTGACCTTCAAAGGTTAGGTGAGACAGGTTGTGATGCGCCTCGGGACTCGTACAGGTGGGGCCTGTCTGTGCTGAACAGGTCAGTCATGGTCGGCACTGATGGCTCATCCACTCTCTTCCTCCTCGACTCATCGCCCTTCAAAGGTAAGATGAGAGCAGCTTTGAGGCGCCGCAAAGGCTAGATGAGGCGAGTTTTGAGGCGCCTCAAAACTTGCACGGGTGGGGCCTGCCTGGCAGTGCTCAACCAGTCGGTTATGGTCGGCACACACGGCTCCTCCACTCTCTTCCACCTCGGCTCCTCGTCTTTCAAAGGTTCCTTCTACTCTTCCGTCTCCACCCCTCCACCTTCAAAGGTTTCTTCTACTTGCCCGAGGGTCCCTTTTGCGACGTCTCTTTTAATCTCCATCGCTGTCAGTCAACACTGACGGCTCCTCCACTCTCCTCCATCTCCTAGCTCTCATCCTTCAAAGTTTGCCCCTTACTCCTCTCACATCTCCCCCACCGTCTCAGCCGTGGCGCGCGTGACAGTGAAGGACGGAAAGAGGAGCATACCGAATCTGAACGAGCTGGAGGTGGTAAGGGGGCTCGTGTGGGCCAACGTGTGGCTCTCCAACTGCCTCGCCGCCATCCACCCTGACACTGGCAAAGTGCTCGCGTGGCTGGACCTCTCTTCCCTGCAGTGAGTTGGTTTTCCGTTAAGTAGCCTGTCAACAAAGCGTGCCCCTTGTCCACGTGGGCCTCTCCACCTACCTTGCCGCCATCCACCCCGACACCGTCAAAGTGCTTGCGTGGCTGGACCCTTCTATGAGTCGCTGTTGTTGAGGCTGCACTGCGCCCACCACTCGCCTCGTGCTACTCATGGTAGCATTGCACAGTACGCACTGGTTCCAGGCGTCACACACTGCCCACGTGCGTCCTCCCCTCCCGCCTCATCCCTGCAGGCGTCTAGCACAAGCAAGATCAAACGAACTCAACGCACGTGTGAGTGGTCTGTGGAAATGGCCTCCGCTTCGATGGCCAGGTTTCACAGTTTTCCACGTCCTTAGCATGTTCGTTGATGCACATGGAACAAGCATTAGTGGGTATGCTTTGCACGGGTTGTGACCTAGGATGGCAAAGGCAAGTGCAGACCAGGTGAAGTGCATACGGCGGACTTTTGAGTCGTCTCGAAATTCAAATGAAGTGCATATGGCGTGGCTTGTATGGCATGGGGCAAGGCACATTGGTGGAATTCTGATGGATGATGCCCCTGTCTGACTGCTTCGTTGCTTCTGTCAGGAATTTGACGTGTTGAACGGGATCGCATGGGACGCCAAGTACAACCGTCTATTCGGTAAGAAGTTCATTATGGTGTATGCATTGCAGTCCTCTACTGTCTACACAGTTAGCTCGGCTGTCGCATCTCAACTTCCTTTCTCTTTCCCCCTCCTCTCCCAACTCTTCTCCCGGTCTCCCCTCCACCCTTACTTGAGCTGCTCCTGTTTCATTGACATCCTCCCTGTTTTACGTTTTTTGGCATTTGCAGTAACAGGAAAGTATTGGCCACTAATGTTCCAGATCACCCCAAGAATAGCCCTTCTAAAAGCTACTCTGAAAGAGCAAGCCGCGGAGTTGAAAAAAGTAAGAAAGGTGTGTCAGCCAGCAAGACAGTATTTCACATAGTAGGTTGGTTGTCGGTACTCTGCCTTGCAGCCTTTAGATATTCTAAGGGCTCATTCCTAGCTTCGTGTCATCCAGTCTTTGTGTCATCCGAAATTGTGGGATCCTATCGGAAAGCCCAAAGCTTAAACTGCGAATTTTCTGATTAGATTCCACAATTTCGGATGACACAAAGACCGGATGACACGAAGTCAGGAAAACGCCCTAACTTCCTATCATTGCTAGTCTCGTTGTGTATGCTTCGCATTTTATCAACAGAGTTCCTTGGAGATTGAGGTATGACTGCACTGCCCCCCATAGCCCCTCTCTGACCCTTGCCTGTGCTTCTCGGAGGGCCCCTTGTGCCTTTCTATGCCTGCCCACACTCTTGCAAGTCCCTCCTTAGCTGTACTCTTGCTTCCCTCTACTCAGAAGACTGGCTCATTCTGCAGCACCCATGTGAACTGCATTTAACAGAGCAGTAAAGACGCACCACCACCACACGTGGTATACGGTTGTACCAGTCATTGCAGGGCTGTAACACACACGCTCAGGTGGAGGCAGGGGGGGGCTGTTGCACTGCCTTTAGTGCGGTTTGCAGTGAATCACGCATCGTGCCTCCGGTAGCTACCGTAGTGATGGTGCCTTCTATCATCCCATGTGCCTACTACTGGGTTGCATACATACCAGTTCCAGTACTGTGGAACATTCCTCATTGCACAGTGCAGCACAACACCTCCTCCACCTGCTCCCAGAGACTGATTCAACCACACCATCATGGCTGACTCGCTGCTTGCACTTCCACTTCGATTCAATAATAATGAAATCAATATACAAAGAGGAGACAAGGCAACAGAATCCTATCAGAGGCAAGCACAGGGCACCAGCACTCTTGTCGTACCAGGCCTGCCGAGCCTGTTGAGCCTGCCGAGCCTGCCGAGCCTGCCGAGCCTGCCAGCTCAACAGGCAAAATTGGAAATCAACCACCTCCTAGTCATCCACCCCACATGACAGCGCTAAACACCACACTACACTACTCTACACCAATCATGCTGCCGTGCCATGGCTCGTATGCATCTGTTACGGGTCAGCTTCTAACCATGCCCATCCATCTGATCATCCATCCGTTCCCCATTCTAGCCCCCACTCCCCTGCTCCCCCCTCCTCACATCCACTTCCACCCCCTCTCTCCTCAGCTGTCCACCCTACACCAACCGCCGCCCATCCCTGTCTGTCATCATCCTGCTTCTTCTCCCCCCTCCTCAACGTCACCTCGCTCCGTCCAACAGACTCCACCCCATTGCACCCCACCGCGCCTATCTCTCCGTGCGCGCGGCTTCCGCGGGCAGCAGCAGCAGCGGGTCCACAGGCGACCCGTGCCGGTGAATCTCGAAGTGTAGGTGCGGTCCCGTCGAATGCCCCGTGTTTCCCGACAGCGCGATCGCCTGCCCCTTCCCCACCGCCTCCCCTTTCCGCGCCACGAACCGGTTACAGTGCGCGTATAGCGACGAGTACCCCTTCCCGTGATCGACCACCACCACGTATCCGTACCCCTTCCGCCATCCCGCGAACGAGATTCGCCCCGCCTGCGCCGCAACCACCGGCGTGTTCTCCTCAACGGCTATATCGATCCCTTTGTGGAATTTCTTGCGCGCCTCGCGCCACCCGTAGCGCGACGACAGCCACCCGCCGGTGACGGGGAGCCCGAACGGCCCCACCGTCGCCGCGATCCGGCTCCGCTGCGCGAAAATCCCGCCGGGTACGGCGGGGAACTCGGACGCGGAGGCGGCGGCGGCAGCCGACGCGAGCGGGTCGCCTCTGTGGCCGAGCCGCAGCGACGCGGGGTCGATAGCCGCGGTCGCCAGGGTGTTCAGCGCCGCCGACGCAGCGGCCGCCGCGCGTTGCGGCACGGCGAGGATATGACCGTCCACGTAAACGGACTGGACATGGATTAGGGGGCAGGGAGAAAAGGGAGGGAGCAGGGGTTAGACGGGAATGGGGGGCAATGCAATCGGAGGACGAGGGCGTTTGTGAGGGAAATAGGTAGGGTTTGGAAACAGTGACAGTATGGAATCAGCCTTCGCAGTGAGTATTCGCGCTCGGGCAACAAGGATCGGGTTAAAGTGACAGCAGCGGGGCTCACAGGTGGCAGCAGCGCCGCGAACTGCTCCTTGCTGAGGTCCCTCTCCAGCCCCAGCGCGTGCGACACGATGCGACTCGTCAGGGTCGCCACCCCTCGACTTAGTCGCCCGTGCGCCGCTGCCACTGCAAGTCACAAAGAATCGGGAAAATCGCGCGTGAGTGCGGGAACTGGAGATAAGAGTGACACGTGAAAAAGGAGGAGTGGTACGAAGGGAGAGGGTTCAAGATTCGGAGAAAAAAACGGTAACTTACGCTGGCGTAGAGGTTCGCCTTGCGCTCTCGTTAGAAGCTGCGTCGCCGCAGCGGATAAAGCCGCCTGCGGGTCCTGCGAGAAGAGAAAGCGACAAGGTCGTCAAGGGGAATGGGAATGAGGCGGAATGCGAGACGGACTCGAGCGGGTATCTTCACAACCTGGAAATCAATGATAATCACATTGGACCAGTAAAGACTGGTTCGTAACTGGCAACTGACCTTTAGCGACGACGCGAGCTTCGTCTGCCTCCCGAGTGCCGTCAGTCGTCCATGCACGAGGCTCGCCGCTCCTGCGACCAGCCGGTGTTCCCTAAGTCGCGTCTCTACGCTCTCGAAGCTTGTCTGGTTTCCTATCGAAAGGTTCCTAAGTCTACTAGCTATTCTACTAGTCGCGCTGACCGCCGGCTCGACGAGCAGATCGAGGCTCGAGGATTTGGGCGGCCATTGGAACACGAGAACTGGTTTCCAACGAACCTGCTTCACGCGACACACCACCGTGATCTCGCCGCTCCGACCAATCACGAAGCTCGACCGCGCCTGCTCGTGCGGGTACCGCACGCAGACGTCGATCGCGGGCTCCGCGGCGCCCTCGCTCCTTCTGCACGCGCGGAGCGTGATCGGCGCTGCGTCATGCCTCGGCGACGATATTTGGTACGAAGTCGACATGTTACAAATTCTGAATACGAGTCACGCAAATGTGCTGAAAAGCAGAACAATACAACAAGCAAAAGCAAAGCAAAGACTGGTAGGGATAGGAGTCGTCAGAGACGCAGTTAGCCGGCAATCTACAGATCAGTGCCTGAACTTTCTATTATGTAAAGGAGCGTGCTAGGCAGCTGCATATATAGCAATGAAATGGCGCCACTCACGGTCGTGGTTGGCTCTTATGATAGGAAATGGATGGTTGGTATGTCGGTGGTGGTGCGACGATTCGACACAGTGTATGTCGCATGAGTCGCGAGGGCCGCATGGCAGCCATCACATGTGATCGCACTGTCGGGTGGTTCGGCACCACAGCAACCGGCACATTTTTAAAATGACGAGCCTGCTGAGTGTGAAAATGGCGGGAAAGGTATGATGGGTCATGGATGCCGTGAGCAGCATCATATCCTGTTCTGTACATGAGTTTCGGCGGCCGCACAGTGCAGCAGATCCGCAAATTCATGCCATGCAACGCTAGCGGGTTTGGAAACTGGTCGGTTCGGATGGATGAGATGAATTGATGGGTTTCAAACCGCATCTGGGACCACCTTGGCGTGTGACGAATAGGAATGGCCAGCGGACGCAGATCTGTCCAAGCTGTCAGAAGTAAACCCCTGACACGTGTAATGACTTGTCTGATCCCGCGTTTACTGGCCAGGCGTCAGGCTTGGAGACGGAAAACTAATGCAAGTATTTGGGGTGCAGCGGGTGCATAGTGTTTTACCATATGATTTCAAGCATCTGAAGTTAACTTTGATTTATTGTAAATCGAGTACAACAACAAAGAAGAATCTAGGTTGCTGGTGGAGGTAATGGACGACGTGGAAGGCCACAAGAGCATCTGCGTCACCACCATGACAATCTCCATCATCAGTTTGTCCAGCGTGTCCCTTCTGTGCTTCCATGCACTGCCACGGCTGCTCACAGAAGCACCGTCATTCCACCTCACCCCACACCCCAAGACACTGCCCATTTCCGCAAGCATCAAATTCCTCCCTCACCCCTCCCTTCCTACCGCCTGACTCTCAGCAAATTCACTCTCACACGCACAGCTTAGCGCAGCTATCCCAACTTACGGCCGCCATGTTGACGCTTCCTGTCGCCTCCGCCGAAACCTGCGCGTCCTTCGCCACCTCTCTCGCCACCAACGCCCGTAGCGCCGCTGCTCGTCGCCTCGGCTCGGCGAATTTCCTAGGCGGGCATAAAGGCCTGCTCGCATCCACCGTCGTGCCAGTCGCATCCGTGAAGTCTTCCAGGGTTCGTTTTACGCTCCCTCTCCTTCTCTCATTCGTCGCAACGTTACCGATCGCGCGCTCTGAACTGATTTTGCAAGAGGTGAATTTTCTCGTGGATTCCCCTGTGTTGGATTATCCGCATGTGAATTAGTGGGTTCGTCCTTTGGATCACGCGGACTACGTATCATGCTCATTTTTAATTGATTTCGTGCATCTCTCTCTCTCGCCTCCCGCAGCCGGTCACCACGGAATCGCTCTTCTCCTTCGCCGGGTGGGGCAAGCCAGCAGCGCCGATGGCGGCTGCAGGAGTGGCGCAGGAGCCGGACACGGACAACCCCGGCGCGGGGCTGCAGTTCGCCGAGTTTGGCGCTGGCTGCTTCTGGGGCGTCGAGCTCGCCTTCCAGCGGGTCCCCGGTGTGGTCAAGTAAGTATGTGATGGTATTGCTGGACGTTCATGCTCTCGTTGCGCAGAGTGTTTTGAGATCTTGGTAAAAACACAGTACTACTGGAGTATGTGAATGTAAAGCAATTTATATATGCGTGCAATACAATCGCCCCCAGTGTGGTCAATTACCAGTTGGCTGATCGGGTCTTTGGAAAGTGATAAGCATGGTCCTAGTGCCCATGAATGACCAACATCGCTGTTTCCTCGCTGCGCGTGCAGGACGGAGGTTGGATACACGCAAGGCGTGAATGACAAGCCCACATATGAGCAGGTAAGAGATTTATTTCTTATTGTCTGAAATTTCTTCACTTTGAAATAAGCATAAACGTCCGTTTCTCTACTTCGATTGAACAGAAGCATTTTCGCTGACCATGCACCTTTAGATTTACGTGTGATTACGTGGATGGTATTTAAATTGTGGTCCCTTTTTGCCTTCCCTCGTGTCCACCAGGTATGCTCTGGGCGCACAGGGCACGTAGAGGCAGTGAGAGTGGTGTACGATCCCAAGGAGGTGTCCTACGAGGGTCTGCTAGACGTTTTCTGGAACAGGCACGACCCCACCACGCTTAACCGCCAGGGTGGTGATACGGGGACGCAGTACCGCTCAGGGATCTACGTTTTCTCTCCTGAGCAAGAGGAAATTGCGAAGAAGTCGCTGGAGGCGAGGCAGGCTCAGATTGGTAGGAAGATAGTGACGGAGATAATGCCCGCTAAGAAGTGGTACCCTGCTGAGAGCTACCATCAACAGTATCTTGCCAAGGGTGGGAGGTTTGGCATGGGGCAATCAGCTGCTAAGGGCTGCACGGATCCCATCAGGTGCTACGGCTAAAGTTTAGAATCATATGCACTGTAAGTTAGTGATGGAATAATTGGTCTGAATGCATCTTGTATCTGTTATGATGTTTTTATGTGCCTCTAATAACTGTGAAGTGGATGGGAGTGATGATACCTGTGTTGAGAGATATATGCAGCCAAGGAATCTTTAATGCATTAGGTAGGAAAAAGCATGTAGACTGAGATGTTAGGGTGGGACATTGCAGTATAAAAGGTACCGTATATGGAAGTAAAAGGGGTTTGAAAGACACGTACATATGTTGAAATTCTACGGATCTCTAATAACGAAATGCTTATACAGTTGTTATCGAGTATAATTTGTTCTCTGACCAGCTCTGTTCGCGCTCGGCTCCCATTCGATTCGCGCCAAAGCGCTTTCCAAACCAGTCGCCTAGCTTCGCGCAGCAAACCCAGAACAGATACAGTAGCAACTCCCTGTGCCCGCGAGGTTCGGAGTTTCCTCGGCATCCCTTTTTGTCAGTCCACCATGTCTCCCTCTTGTCCCGAGTTCCCCCCCTCAACTGCTTTCTCGAGAATGGTTCGACTGCGCGAATATGATCCAGATTCCGAGACGCTTTTCCGGATTCTGGGCAGGTTTCCTGGACTATTTCTCCCCTACAACTCTCACTTCCTTTGGGCACCAGTTGTGTTCTGTGCTTTAGAACGCATTAGCCTTTAGAGTGTGCATCGTAGAAGCCGCGCTGCGTGACGAGATTCAGGACCTTATAGTGCGTGATGCAGTTATTGGTCCAAATGCATGTCCATGCGTCGCGGTGACGGAACGTAGGTGCAGTTCGAAGTCATAGTTTCGCTGGGATATCAGCCTGGCGAGAGGATAGGATTAGGGCAGATTTGAGTTGACGACGTTAGGCAGGTACGATGCAATCCGCAACTGCGATTAGCCAGGTGCCAGCACCTGGTTGGTGCGCGGGTCATGCCAAAGAGCCACCCAGAAACCATGAGGCGAGTAACGATCGCGTGTCGTCAGCTCGCCACGTGGAAGCCGCGCTGCTGCGCTCCTTACACTTGCCGCAGATTCTCCGTTCCCTACAGCAGCACACTCAGCCCTCGTTTGAGTCAACTTCACACGTGTCACGTCGCTCCAAGTCCGCCATTAAAATGTCAGCCATGCTAGCTCAATTAGCTCTCCTCCAATCAGAACCGACGAACGGCCACAGGCAGCCTAAGTATGGCCCACTTATGCTGGTCCAGGATCCAGCTACATCCGAATTTCACGTCCTACCGCCCCAGGCCACTGTAGCAGCACATACAGCCACGCCATGCCGCTCGCCAGAAGCACCTTTAACAATTGCAAACTCCGCTTCCGCTAGAGCCGCGTCTGGCGGCGCAGAAAGCGGCGGGGGAGGCGGAGCGAGCGACAATAAGTTTCTGCGGGTGTCGATCCAGTCCGTTGCGCTCGCGTTGGCGTTCGGCGGAGCGGCGGCGTTTCTCCGCATGCTGCTGTCCGCGCTCCCCCCGGACTTCCTGTCGCGCTGGAAGAAGCTGTTCGCGGAGCAGCCGCACTTCGACCCCAAGACGGCCGTCGAAGCGCGCCGAGCCACCGCCATCTACGACTGCCACGGCGACTTAATCGCCACCGTCGTTCCCGGCGGGTTCGGCGGCCGGCGGAAGGACGCGAGCAAGGGGCAGGCGCCGTTGAAGCCGACGGAAGTGCCGGCGGTGATGTGGCAGGCGGTTATCGCGACGGAGGACCGACGGTTCTTCGAACACCAGGGGTTCGATCCCAAGGGCCTGACACGTGCCATCATGTCATTGGCGCGGACGGGAGGCGGGAGTACGATCACGCAGCAGGTGAGCGGTGGTGTGCGAGGAGGGCGGACGGGCAGGGCGGACGGGTTGGGCGGACGGGTGGGGCGGACGGGCACTGAAATTCCTAAAGAGAGAGTTAAGCATTTAAGGTACAATTGAACAAGGCGAAGCGTGGAATGTGGACGGTGAAGTGTAAGGGTGAAAGTGGCGTGCAGACGCTTGTTTCCCCCTCTGCACACCCGGGTAACCTGCACGCCAATGCCGCTTGCTGTGGGTTTTCGCTCGTCGTTTCCCAACCTCCTCGCCCTCCTTCTGCTCCTCTGTCGAACGAGGAGGCACAATCCAACTCCTCCAGCCCTTGTTCCCCCACCCACCCACCCTGCCACACGCCCCCCGCCGCCCCTCCCCCTTGAGCTGGTGAAGAAGGTGTGTGTGTTGAACGAGCGGCTGTGAGCTCACTCTCCTGCGCTTCTCCCCCGCCCACCCTGCCGCGTCTCCCCCTCCTCTTCCTTCCGCAACCTTCTCGCCCCCGCGTCTCGTCCCCCTCTCAGCTGGTGAAGAACGTGTTTCTGTCGAACGAGCGGCGGTGGACGCGCAAGCTGGTGGAGATCATACTGGCCGTGATTATAGAGAGGCGCATGACCAAGTGGGACATCCTTCACCTCTACCTCAATAAGGTCAGCCACCTTCAGACCTACTGGGGCCACGGGATGACGTGGCGGGGCGCACTGTCTCTCTGCTGTCCGCGCATGGCTGCCTGTCGTCCTGTCTGTTGCCTCATGCCCGGTGCCCCAGTGCCCCACCGTTAGATCTGGGGCTACAGCGTGACGGGGCTGAGGACTCACTGTGCCTCTCTGCTTCTCTCTCTCTCTCTGTTGCTCTGCTCCCTGCTGTCTGTCCGTTGTCTGTCGCCTGCAGATCTACTGGGGCCACGGGGTGACGGGACTGGAGGCAGCATCAGCGCTCTACTTTGGAAAGCACCCGTCGCTGCTCACGCTGGGCGAGTGCGCCATGCTGGCCGGTATCATCCCCGCGCCCGAGCTCCTCTCGCCCTACCGCGACCCCTCCAGGTATGTGCCACTTTGTATAATGAAACCTGCATGACCTCTGCTGTCAGATGCTACACACCCCTTAGGCACGACCTGCCCCTCCAGCCACCACCTACCCAATCCATCCCCCATCCATATCCCCATCCCCCTCTCCGCTGCCACACCTGCCCCGGATGTGCCCTCCTGTGTGTATCCTCCAATCACTCCGACCCCCCCTTGCAGGGGCGGCAAGCCCCAGGCGCATGGTTCAAGCGGGCTTTCGGGACATCGCCACTGAGGCCATGCCATGCCATGCCATGCCATGCCATGCCATGCCACTCACGGCATTCGTGAGGCGCCTCAATAGCGCACTCCCCCTACCCCTCCCCTACATTGCCACGACCACCGATGCCATGCCACTTTATGGCATTCGTGAGGCACCTCCCTAGCAGATCCCTCTCGAATCCTCATCCCCGTTCCATTCCTGCCTCGCTGCCGCTCTGCTCCCTACAGGGGTCGCAAGCCCCAGTCGCGGGCGCTGAGGCGAATGGTGGAAGCCGGATTTCTGGACATTGCCACGGCCACGGAGGCCATGCAGCAGCCGCTGCGCCTGGGATCCGAGGCCAAGCACGGCACGTCGGGGCCGTGGCGAGCTCCCTTCTTTGTCAGCGAGGTGAGAGGTGTGCTGGGGAGGTGGGGGAGGGGGAGGGGGAGGGGGAGGGGGAGGTGGTTTGCAACCAGCCACTGCGGGTGGGGCGGGAGGGCAAGCATGGGGCGTGTGGGCTGTGGCGGGCGCGCTTCTCCGTCAGTGCGGTGCGGTGCGGTGCAGGGAAAGGTGATGGTGAGGACGTGGGGAGGGGCGAGAGGGAGGGGGGTTTCAGGTGTACACGACGCAGACCTCACTATGCAGGATGCGGGGGAGAAAGGTGGGTGGGGAATGACACGTGTGAAGGTGGGTGGGGAATGGCACGTGTGAAGGTGGGTGGGGAATGGCACGTGTGAAGGTGGGTGGGGAATGGCACGTGTGAAGGTGGGTGGGGAATGGCACGTGTGAAGGTGGGTGGGGAATGGCACGTGTGAAGGTGGGTGGGGAATGGCACGTGTGAAGGTGGGTGGGGAATGGCACGTGTGAAGGTGGGTGGGGAATGGCACGTGTGAAGGTGGGTGGGGAATGGCACGTGTGAAGGTGGGTGGGGAATGGCACGTGTGAAGGTGGGTGGGGAATGGCACGTGTGAAGGTGGGTGGGGAATGGCACGTGTGATGGACGAGCCCTGAGTGGGTTGGAGCTCGCTCTGCCTCTCTTCCCTCCCTGCCCCCTCACGCCCATCCCCCTCTCCCTCACGCTCTCCGCCCACTCCCCCACGCCTTTCCCCTCCCCCCCACGCCCTTCCCCCCACCCCCCCCGCCCCACCCAGGTGTTATACGAGCTGGCGCAGAGGTACGGGCGCGAGGAGGTGGTGCGGGGCGGGCTGCAGGTGCACACGACGCTGGACCTGACGATGCAGGACGCGGGGGAGAAGGTGGTGGGGGACGGCACGCGCGAGTACGACCAGGAGCGGGAGGCGGCAGCTCAGAGAGACATTGCGGCGATTGCGATGAAGCTGGAGGAGCTGCGGGGGAGGCGGCAGCAGCAGATTCTGGCCACTGTGGCCGCTGCTGCTGTCAAGAGGTGCGTTGTGATGAGAGAAAAGTGATGAGGGGAGAGGAGCGGAGGAATGGGTGGATGAGGAGGGGGCAGTCGGAGATGAGACGAGATAGGGAGGGAGTAGGGGAGTGGGGGCTGTAGATCGAAGTGAGAAGGCCTGCTGGGAGATAATCTGCCATGCGTTTCACATGCCCCTCACGTACCTCCACCTGCCGCACACATGCGTCCTCGTGCAGGTCAGCAGAGTTCCGCAAGAAGAACGGCCAAACACAGAAGACGTGAGTCCTCTCCTTCTCTGCACGCATCTCCTTCTACCCAACCCCTCTCGTGCCTTACACTCCTTCCTTTCTTCCTCTACCTGCTGCCCTTCCCTCCCCCTCCTGCTCCCTCACCTCCTGCCGTTTCTGTTCTTCCCAAAGCCCATCAAGGTGTTTCCATGCCTCTGCCCCCACTCATCCATGTCCGTTGTTTCTCCACACTGCCATGTTCCTGAATTCATCTCATCTTTCTGCCACAGCTCAGCCACATCTCCATCCCCTCCCCCCCCCTCCCCCCCCGCGCCCATGTGCCAATTCTCCTCCCCACCGTCTCCCCTCGTCCCTCCCTCTTCCACCTCTCCCCCTCGTACAGAGTGTCTGAGATGATGGCGGACGAGACGGCAGCAGTGGCCCGCACCCTAGAGCGATTCGCAGCCATGTGAGTGGTGGCGGTGAAGGGTCACGGACGGGTCGAGGGAAGAGTAGGCGCGGGAGGCGATGGTAGTCTGTCTGTGCGGGCTGTGCAGCACTCACTTTTTCGCCGTCTTACCTTGAATATAATGACACGGCTGTTCGCATGCCACCCTCCTAGGAACTTAACTGATAGGGTAGAGTCCATGCCTCCTTCCCAACCAACCTGTCTGATTTATAACGCCTCCCTTTCACTCGCCCCAGGGAGCACACTTTGACAACAGCCATACAGCGGTGCGATAACGAGGTGGCATGTTTTCAATAATTGCAGCAATGCATTCTCATTACATCCTTTCCACTCCCAACACCTCTCCCCTCCCCCCCGCTTCTCTTCCCCTTGTGTGCAGGGAGCGTACTCTGACAACTGCCATGCAGCGCTACGAGAACGAGCTCAGGAGCGCTCAGGCCGCCAGGTGGGGTAGGGGGAGGGATGAGGGGGTTGGTGAAGGGGTTGAGAGGAGACGAGAAAATTGGGGGCTTGGATGCGGTTGGAAGGAATGAAAGGGCGGGTGGAGTCAATGTGAGTGGCAGTGTGGGGAGAGAAGATGGGCGGAAGTGAGGGAGATGGTTAGGAAGTGAGGGGGATGGTTAGGAAGTGAAGGAGATGGTTAGGAAGTGAGGGAGATGGTTAGGAAGTGAGGGAGATGGTTAGGAAGTGAGGGAGATGGTTAGGAAGTGAGGGAGATGGTTAGGAAGTGAGGGAGATGGTTAGGAAGTGAGGGAGATTGTTAGGAAGTGAGGGAGATGGTTAGGAAGTGAGGGAGATGGTTAGGAAGATCAAGGGATGGACAGGGGTGGTGCGAGTATCAGTTTGCTTCATGTTATGTTGTGAGTCTGGGCATACGGGAAAAGCAGCCCATGTGTGCACTCGAGTCAGGCAAACTTGTCCTCATCGCTGTGTGGTTTCTGCTTGGTGTCCTCTTCTTGACAAGCCCGCATACGTCTGTTCCTCCCTGCGTCTCTTGTGGACATGAACCTGCATGTGCTCGCTCTTTTTGGCTGTGTGTTAAAAAAGGCTGGAGGAGGGAGGTTCAGGGGCCATGGATGAGGGTGCTGGTGGGGGGGCACCACTATAGCAAGAGCCGCTGTGTCTTTGCATGGCTTGTCCTTCTTCTGTGATCCCCATCGCTGCATCGCTGCATGGTGTGTTGTCATCCCCCCCCATTCTCCCATGGTGTGCACCGTGCAGGCTGGAAGGGGCCATGGTGGCCATGGACCCGCTCTCAGGCGCGGTGAGGGTGCTGGTGGGGGGCCGGGACTACTACGAGAGCTGCTTCAACCGCGCCACCCAGGCGCTGCGCCCCCCCGGCTCCACCTTCAAGCCCGTCGTCTACCTCACTGCGCTCGCCGAGGGCATGTAAGGACTTTGGGGATGGGGGATTTTGGGCAATGTGTGGAGAGGAGTGATGGTCTTGGAACTTGTGGTCTTGAAGTGTGCTGCGTGCTATCGCAGTTCCCACCCCCCTCCCCTCCCCGCCGAGTCCACCGTCAAGGCCGTCGTCAACGGCACTGCTCTGGCAGAGCGCATGTGAGTGATTAGTATCTGGGGGTCTCAGGGGATGAGGGTTTCAGGCAGCGTTGGTGGTGCGTGCAGCCCCCACCCACCACACCCCTCTCTCCCGGGGGCCACCTTCAAAGCCGCTGTCTACCTCACACTATGTGCTGTTGACAAGCCGTACGACAGGCCACGCTCACTGACCTCCTGCTACACTCTCATTCATTGCCCCTACTCCCCTCTCCCCCCTCCACCCCCCCCCCCCCCCCTCCTCGCAGCACCAAAGACTACGTGTTGGTGGACGAGTCGTACGAGGTGGGCGGGTTCGCCCCGGTTCCCGTCTTGCTGCACCTCCGCGCCCTCATCCCCCCACTCTCCCCTGTTCTGCTCCTCCCGCTCCCCCCCCAGCACCAAGGACTACGTGTTGGTGGACGAGCCATACGAGGTGGGCGGGTTCGCCCCGGAGAACTACGACCGCAAGTTCCGCGGGCCCGTCACGCTGGAGGAGTCGCTGCTCAAGTCGCTCAACGTGCCCACTGTGAAGCTGTGCGCTGAGATCGGCGTGGACAAGGTGAGATCGCTGTTGCTGTGCGTGGGTTGACTGTAACGGGGGAGGTCAGCTGTAGAAACTGCAGACAAGGTCAACGAGTTTCAAGGCGCCCGTCACGCTGGAGAGTTCGCTGCTCAAGTCGCTGAATGTGCCCACCGTCAAGCTGTGTGCTGAGATCGGCGTGGACAAGGTGAGAGTGGTGTTGGTGTTGAGAGCTAGTGATTGCTGGAGATGAAGTCGCTACAGAATGCACTGTCCATCAGTCAACTGCTTAACATGCTCTCCCCTACGGTCAAGCTGTGCAAGGAGAGCACCAATGACATTATCCACGTTTCAATGGTCGGCGTGCATAATGTGGGGAATACAAGGTGCGGATGGAATGGAAATTTTCCTTGTCGCCTTCACCCTTGCCCTCTCACCCTCCGCCTCCCCCTCTGCACTGCATCCCCCTCCCCCCTTCAGGTGTGCCACATGGGGCGGGCACTCGGCATCAAGACGCCACTCCCCCACGAGCTGGCGCTGTCGCTGGGCGGCTGTGAGGTTGAGGTGACACCTCTGCAGCTCACTGCTCCCCTCCTCATTCCACCAGGTGTGTCACATGGGGCGCGCGCTGGGCATCAAGACACCGCTACCGCACGAGCTGGCGCTCTCGCTGGGCGGCTGCGAGGTGACACCTCTGCAGCTCACCACCGTGTACTGCACGATCGCTGCAGGGGGAATCTACCACCGCCCACACCTCATCACCCGCGTTGAGTCGTACAACGGAAGAGTGCTGGAGGAAGCCAAGGTGAGTGGTCTCTCCTTGATGGATCTTTGGTTGCTTGGCAGCATCAAAAGGTGACGCCCCTGCAGCTCACCACCGTGCGAGTTGACCAGCTCCATGCATGTACAGCCGCTGCAACCCACCACCGTCTACTGCATGATCGCTGCAGGGGGGATAAACCACCGCCCGCACCCGATCACATGCGTGGAGTCGTACAATAGAAGGGTGCTAGAAGAAGCTAAGGTGAGCTGCCTGTCCTTGGTGGTTATCTGGTGAAACTCGCAAGGCTAAGGTCCGTTGCACGAGGTGACGCCCCTGCAGCTGACCACGGTCCACTGCACGATCGCTGCTGGGGGCAGCTACCACCGCCCACACCTGATCACCCGCGTCGAGTCGTACAATGGGGGGGTGCTGGAAGAAGCCAAGGTGAGGGGGAGGGAGAGGGTGAGTTGCCTGTCCTGGATGGTTGTCTGCAGGAATGAAAGAGGTGACGCCCCTGCAGCTCACCACCGTGTGCTGCACCACCGTGGAGCGCATAGTCAATAAGGAGACCCCATAGTCAATAAAGCCGCGTTGCCTTGAGGCACCTAAAACGTATCTCGTGCGTACACCCCACTCCTGCTCCATCCCCCCCACCCTCCCCTGTCCAACCAGGTGTGCATGGAGCGCAGGGACCCAGTGGTGGACGAGGCAGCGGTGGGCGAGTTGAGGAAGCTGCTGCAGGCCGTCGTGGAGAGGGGCACTGGCAAGGGGGCGCGCATGGACCGCCCGTGTGCCGGCAAGACGGGCACGTCTGATGGCCACCGCGACTGCTGGTTCGCTGGGTTCACCCCGCAGCTGGCGTGCGTGGTGAGTGGGGGGATCTTGTACGATCTTCAGACATGATTTTCAAATAGCAACAGTAGCCAAAGCTAGGCGAAAGAAAACAAAGAAGAGGGGTAAAAGAAAACAAAGAAGGGAGGTAAAAGAAAACAAAGAAGAGGGGTAAAAGAAAACAAAGAAGAGGGTAAAAGACTCGCTTTGCACAATGAAGTGCCGAGAGTGGTATCGGATTCCAAGTCTGCTGACGGCCGCCACGACTGCTGAAGACCTGCTCGTTCCCCGTTTGCCATTTTCATGTGCCTCAAGATTCACTCGTGCCTCGTCCCCCCCTCTCTCACTCATCGTGCCCACCCTCCTGCTCCCCTCTCCTCCCCCCCAGGTATGGCTGGGCTACGACAATAACGAGCCACTGGCAGGGCTGCACCCCGGCACCCGCTCATCCCCTTGCTCCATGTCACCAACCCTGCACCTTTCGTTTCCTTCCCTCTCCTCCGTGTCAGGTGTGGCTGGGCTACGACGACAACAGGCCGGTGAGTGGCCTTTATCCCGGCACGGGCTCTCCTCGCTCCAATGGTCCTTCATCAAGCAGAACAGACACCGGCTCACCTCCCTCTCACTCCTACCCTGCACCACCCCGGCACTGCCTCACCACCCTCCACCCATCCCCACCCCTCCTGCCGTTTCCTCCTCCCCTCCAGGTATGGCTGGGCTACGACGACAACTTGCCAGTGGGAGGGCTGCACCCCGGCACCGGTTCCAGCCATGCTGCACCTCTCTGGAGCCGCTTCATGACGCTCGCCCATGAAGGGCTGCCCGTGAAAAAAATCCTCGACCCTGCCCGGGACAGGTACACTGGGCGGGCAGCTGGAAGGGAGTTTCAGAAGCGGAGCCGGCGCGCTCAGAAGGTGGGGTTGAGCGAGGTGCGGAAGAGGGAGGGCGGGAGGAGGAAGGGAAGGAGAGAGGTGGTGTGGAAAGACGTGTGGGATTGGGAGAAGGCTAGCAGTGGATGGCAGGAGAGGGAGAAGATGGAGGAGTGGGCGGCAGCGAGACGAGAGAGGGCTGAGGAGATTCGGGCTTTAAGGGCCAAATGGGGCTGGCTGCCGTTTGTGAAGGGGAATAAGGGGGCAGGCGGGGAGGGAGGAGGGGAGTCGCCAGGGAGAGGGTTGCTGGGGGATGAAGGGGAGGAGGTGGGCGAGGATGACTACGAGGATGCTCTGCGGTTCTTTGAGCGGGCGAATCAGGAGGAGGGGCAGGGCGGGAGGAGGGGTGGGGAGTGGGGAGGGGAGAGGGGTGGAGAGAGGGAGGGGGCGACAGGGAGGGGCATTTCTGCTGCGGCAATGGCTGCTGCTAAGTGGGGCGCGGGGGGGAGAGGCGGGGGGGTGGAGAAGCGAGGAGGGAGCGGGGAGACACGAGCAGAGAGGCAGGTGGACGAGGAAATGGGGAGGAGGTGGAGTGCGGAGGAGGGAGTGGAGGGGGAGGACGAGGAGGAGAGTGAGGTTTGTGCGAGGGATGGGGAGGGGGATGATGAGGATGGGTTGTGGGAGGAAGGGGAGGGAGAGGAGGAGGAGGAGGAGGAGCCAGAGGAGGTATTGGCTCGCATGCAGGAGAGGCTCGAGGAGCAGTTTGGGGTGCGACTGGTGGAGGCTGTATTTGAGGGGCGAGGGGGGGATGCGGGGAGGGCGAGTGATTCAAAGGGCAGGGGGGAGGGGCCTGGTGGGGCCGCAGGAGTGGGGGTTGGGGGAGAGCGCACGGGCGGTAGGAGAGAAGGCATGAGTGTGGAGGCGGGTGGGAGTGGCGAGGGTGCATTGTATGAGGCGATGGCGATGCCGTCTGTACGAGCATCAGCCACACCTCCTTCCGCATCGCTGGGAGGATTGACATGGAGTGAGCGAGTGGCTTCCGCACAGAAGCAGCAACTAGAGCTACAGCAGCAGCAACAGCAGCAGCTACAGCAAATACAGCAGCAGCTTGCAACTGACGTCGCTGCCTCAGATCCAGCTGAGCCTCCTGTCGGACCTCAAATTCCTCACACCGAACCTCAAGCGTCCCGTACCAAGCCTCAGGTGCCGCGGTCGGCAGCCCAAACCTCCCTTGCTGAGAACCAGGCAGCGTCTGCAGCAGCGGCGGCGGCAGCAGAAGAGCAGAGAGAGGTGGTGAGTGCGAAGTTTTTCACAGCAGTGGATTCGGAATCTGCTGTGCCTGACATCTCTCCGCTGCAGCCGTGGCCTGAGAAACAGGGCGACGGGGCAGAGGGGGGAGGGGAGATGGAGGCGTGCTGCCCCATGCCGCCATGCACGGGCCTGCTGCCTGCCTGCAGGGAGCCGTCACTGGAAGGGAGTGCAGATGCTGAGAGCGGTGAGGTGGGTGAGAGGGAGCGCGAGGAGGAGGAGGAGGAGGAGAAGCGGCTGGGGTGGACCAAGCGGTTGTTTGTGAAGACCAGGGTCACGGCTCCGAGCGGCGCACCCCTGCCCCCGTCTTCGTCTGTATCTGCTGCCTACTCTGGTCCATACTCTGCCTACACTGCCTCAGCTACATCAGGAAGAGGTTACTCAGAGGAAAATCCTGGGCAACGCCAGGTGTCTTCTCCTCTCGTCCCATCCCCCTCCTCCTTGGGACCTCCGTCGTCGCTAGCCCCTTCAATCCAGCCCCCTCCAGTTTCCAGCAGGTATGCTGCTGATGCCAGCAGCGTGCCTGGCAGCTCAGTAGGCGTGTGGGGGAGTGCAGTGCCGCGGCGGCAGCAGAAAGGAGGTGGCACGGGGCCCGATGCTCCAAGGGATAGGTCTTCAGGTTCCCCTGCTTTGTTAGGAAGGTTTGGTGGAAGGAGCCGGACAGGTAGGACGTAGGTATAGCTTAGATTGATAGAGTTTTTGAGAGAAAAGAGACTGAGAGATGCCAGCCTGTCTAATGACTTGGATGAAACAAAAGTTCATATTGAGAAGTGGTGTGCTTCGAATTTCATTTTATAGACGTATTATAGATTGTCCAGCTGCTTGTTCAAGTGAACCGATGCGAACGGAAGTTGATTCAAGGGAATCACAGCTCGTCCAGTAGTTTTGGACGTTTTTTTACCGAACCTGGAAATCGCCCCCGACCTTTGCGACAAGGACGTTTTCGCGGCCAATGATAAAAATCCGAATCGCACATTCTATGTTTCGTGATCTAACTTCCGAATAGGCTATCCATGAGAACAGAATTGTTTTTCAGCAAATGCCAGCGAGATGTACAGCCAATGCTTTGCTGGCAAAGTTTTGTACCGACAATTTCAGGCAATGAGATACCACTTCGACACGTGATTATTATTCTTTGGGCGGCCTCGAGCCGAAACCTATCCGCTAGCATTGAACCTGTTTTTGTGCCCCGCGCATCTCGATGACGTCAGTTGCGTCAGTTGCGTCAGACCTGGGTGTTGGACTCATTTACACGTGTTGAACAACAAAGAGGTTTTCCGAAGCAAAATATGTTTGAGATAGGGCGCTTTACTTGAGTATGTTGATGTGCTTAAGGTTCCCGGAGATGTGCGAAATCAGCCATTGAAGACGGCAAGCCTGCTACATTTAGGAACAGGGGTGGTTTTCTATGATATTCCATTGCCGAAGTAGTTTCCCTTGTCTGCCCTGACCTCTCCCGCTGGAAAACCTTGAACGCTGCCCGATAAAATACACCACATGAGATCATGGCTGCATCCCACGCAACTGCGACAGGCTGGAGATGAAAATCTAGAAGCTACATGGTGGCTCCATTCACACCACAAAAACGGCATTGTACTTCGTCTAGTGGCTGTACACTGCAGCCTAAAAAATCATACGTTCACCGTCAAATACGCAAAACGACAGAAGTGCTGACATGGCGCGCTCATGGAATGGATGCCGTTCGCTCGTTTTTTCAACTTCGGTTCGGACTTCTAGTCTGCATAACACCGCGCACGTATTTTAGAGTGGTCTTCCTTGGTTGTTCCAAATTGGCAATGCAGCTTTTGTTTGAGGCCCCTAAGCAACTTAATTTGGACTTCAGCTCTGACCTCTTGCTTCATTCGCTTGCATGTCACACAATCGAGTTTGGCGGAAAAAACAATGTGCTGTCCAGTTGAGTGAAGAAGGTTGGAACCCTTAATGTTCATTTTTTTCCGCAAAAACATTGTTCGCGCCCGTGTAATTTTTTCCAAAATGCTCTGGCTTGTCGATGCAAACCGAAATAGCTCTGTACCTTCCGGCAAAGTTGATGGCAACCCGAAAATGCCCTGCGCACAAGATACCGAAACACTCACGCCAGAAAAGCAAGGGAAATTTTGGGATAAGGGCCCCGATCACGGGAAGAAGGGGGAGGGAGGCGGACGGAGTGATCAGAGCAGGGGCATTGCGAAGCAGAGGGACAAGGCACGACGAGTCACGGAGGTGTTTGGTCTGGCGTGCCTGCACAGAACAGCAACGCAGCAGCGCAGGTGTAATGTACATTGCACAGCAAATGAGGGCGTATCCAGGTTCGGGTCATGAGCACTGTTCTGGCTACTGTTCGGGTCATGCGGAATTTGCGCATGACCCGAAGTGGGCTGCCCCAGCTTTGGGTCAATGTGTAGGTGTTGTGCGACTGACGTGCACGATCCACCCACAGCCAATCACCTGGTTGCACGATTGTGGTGTTACTGCCAACTTTTTGTTGATCCTCAGTCGAGTGTCACACGTGGGCAATTTCCCACGTCTGACACCTCTGCACCCAACCACTCGACAAATTGACCCCGAGTGTGTCTAAAATTTCTCGCGTCGCGCTCCCAACATTTGGGAATTCGCTCAGGGAATTTTGGGGGTTGTGATTTCTCAGCGAGTGTCACATGGTTTTGCTTGGGTCTCGCTAATGACCTTTCGAAATGTTCGGGCATCCCACCATTGGATGCGACTGGTGTTGTGAGCTGGATTTTGGCGCGAAAACCCTCGCGGCAATATGGGGGTCGCATGACCCAAACATGCGTTCTGTGTTGTTTGGGTCATCCGTAAATCGCGCATGCCCGGAACAGGGCTCATGACCCGAACCTGGATACGCCCTGAGTCGTCGCATGAATGGCCAGCACCAGAATTGGAGGCAGCTGCATGCATTTCGGATGCTCCTCGAATCGCGGTCGCAGCCCACATGCTTCTGTGGCTCTCGCCACAGCTGCTGGGATGAGAAATTTGGTTTTTGATTTTTGCACTTCTCTTCCACAAATCCCACCGCCCTGTCGAATGAACCAGCGAGCCACAGTCCCTGCTTTTGCTCCCTCAGGTGGAATCAGAATCACACAGCCAGGATATTATGACGGGAGGCTCCTCAAGTACACGGCTCTGAGCATCGTACAGCATCTTTTCCCAAGTCACCCCGTTGCTGTTCCCCTACACAGAGCTTAGAAACGCAACCGGTCTGTTGATGCTCACAGACGTGCACGTGCTGAATCGACTAGACACTCTCCCGCAACTTTAAGTTCATTTTCTTAGAAGCAGTAGTCGGCTGGATAACTAACATGGCCACCACTGACCGGCGTCCCGCTTTCTCAAGACGGTCCCGGTCACATCAGAAGTCGCCGTCCACAGATTCATTCCTCGCCGACTCGCTCTCGCGCTTCGTCGAAACCCTCGCCGAGAACGACCCTTCTTTCTCCTCGCTTCCCCCTCGCCATTCCCCGCGGAGCACCCTCTCCCCCATGTCCTCATCCTCTAGCACTCCTTCCGCCATGAGAGTTGGCCGCCGTTCCCTTGAAATTCCTAGCGACGCGGATTCGAGTTACGGATTCGGGTCTCCTCGAGACGTCCCGAGGCGCCTCGCGATGCGACTCCTCGTGGGCGACAGCGGCGGGGCGGTGGATGCGGCGACGACGAGGGTCCGCACGCCGGAGATGGGTGTTCCGCGAGGAAGCAGTGGAAGGTGCAGCGTGAATGCCCCAAGCACATACAACCGCGACTTGATAAACGGCGACTTTTCCAGGGAGTTCTGCCTTCAGGCTGAAGCGGGTCGCGAAGGGCCGCAGGGCCGTAACGGCGGCTCCAGGGCAATGTTCCGCAGCATTAGCGAGCACGTGGGTTCAGATGAGACAACCCCGTCCTCCCCCTCTTGCCTCACACCCTCCGCGTCCTCTCCCAATGGGAACCACCGGACCGCGTCGTCTCGCCGCCACCTGTCGCGCGTCGGGGCGTCGGAGCCGTTGGAACGCACCCTCCCCCGCAAAAGCCGCTTGAACGGCGACGACGACACTGACGCTGGGTCGGCGGCGACGGGCCGCGACGAAGCGACGGAGGTGGAGGAGGAGGATTCGTCGGACGCGTCGGTGTCGATGCGGCGCCTGGGGCGCGAGATTAATGAGCTGCGGAGGCAGCTCGAGCGATGCTCCAAGATTAATAAGTGGCTAACCGGTAAGTCACCGTGATGCTGCATTTCCCATTTTGATCGTGCTGTCACCTAGCGCGTTTCATAATTTCTCGAGATGGTTTTCCTTACCGCTATTTTTCCACATTTGCTCTTCTTCTCGCTATTTTCTTCGCAGAATCTTTGCGTTCCGCGGAGCGCACCGCGGCGGAAGCCACGGCAGCCGCGCAGGTGGCCGAAGCGGAGCGGGACCACGTGGCGAAGGAGCTGGAGGAGATGCTGAACGCGTGGTCGCAAGCGGATAACGCGGCGGCGGCGAAGCAGGAGGAGGAGCGCACGTCGGTTGAACGAAGCCGCGCGTCACTGGAGCGGGCGCGCGCGGTGTTGGCGCAAGAGAGGGAGGCGGTGGGGAGGGAGAGAGACGAGGTGAGGAGGGAGCGGGAGGAGTTGAAGCGGGAGAGGGAAGCGCTGCAGAAAGATAAGGAGAGGATCGCGGCAGGGCGGGCGGCGCAAGAGGTGCACATGGAGTGGAGCAAGGCTCGCCGCCAGGCGGAGATGATGGGCGGGCGGCAGCACCAGCACCATGTGACTCCCGATGGTGTGCTTCTAAGGAGCGTGAGCATGAACAGCACGTGTAGCACGTGCAGCACGTGCAGCTGCCTGAGCAGCACCCGATGCATCAGCGAGGCCAGGTCGAACGAGGGAGCCACGAAGCAGCAGTCGAGCAAGCAGGGAGGGAGCAGGAGCAGCGGCAGCACCAAGAGCGGCGCGTCTGGCGGACGTTGGTTGGCCTCCTCGCGATCGGAGAGCAACCTGGCCGCGTGTGCTTCCAAGTCAGAGCACGCTCCGAGTGGGCTTCCGCACTCCGCAAGCGTGGGCGAATACGTGAATTTGTCGCAGAAGAGCATCGTGTCGCCAAAAGAACGCGTGGGCCAATCGTGGGGACTCGAGAGCCCTGGTGCTGGAGTGAGTCCCCGAACCAGCGCTCATTCGCCCCCATCCAGGAGCCCTCGCGGTAACAGCACTGGTGGTTACAGTAGCAGCAGTATCAGTAGTGTTGGAAGCTACTCTTCAGTTTTGGACTACGGCGCTAGACCACCCAAGTCTCCTGGATTGCTGCAAGACCCGAGGATATCAGGGAGGCGTGTGAAGTTCTCTGTCATTGACTGATGACCAGTCCAGTAGAGTAGATGTGTGTGTTGTGTGTGTGTGTGTAGTGTGCGTGTGTGTCTTTGTGTCTCTTCACCGCGTTTGTGTGCTTTCTCAAGCGGGATGCAAGTGTCCGTGAAAGCTCTGGGTGTCAAATGTTGTAGCCTGTAGTGAGGTTTGTCTTAGGGGGTACAGAAGTTAGGGTTCGTTATATGTACCCCAACCAACATCAATGGAACCATTCATTCCTCATTCTGACATGGTATCAGCTAGGTTAGGATCCTGTGGGATCCCGTTCCTCCGTTCTCCGTTCGTACCTCCCGAGCCTGATCCTACCTCTCGTTCGTACCAGTTCCGTTGTTACCGCGCCTAGTACCGAGCCTAGCGCCCTTTCCCCCGTCGCTTAGCGCCCTTTCTCCCCGTCGCCTCGCGCCCTTTCCCCTCCCCCCCGTCGCGTCGCGCCCTTTCCCCCCGTCGCGTCACGCCCTTTCCCCCCCCCGTCGCGTCGCGCCCGTTCCCCCCGTCGCGTCGTGCCCGCCTGTTCCCCCCCCGTCCCGTCGCCCTGTCCCGTCGCGTCACCCTACCCCGTCGCGTCGCCCTGCCCCGTCCCGTCGCCCTGCCCCGTCGCGCCGCCCTGCCCCGTCGCGTCGCCCTGTGCCGTCGCGTCGCCCTGCCCCGTCGCGTCGCTCCCGCCCTTTCCCCCGTCGCGTCGCCCTGCCCTACGCCCTGGCCCGTCGCCCTACCCTAGGCCCTGGCCCGTCGCCCTACCCTAGGCCCTGGCCCGTCGCCCTCCCTAAGCCCTGGCCCGTCGCCCTACCCTAAGCCCTGGCCAGTCGCCCTACCCTAGGCCCTGGCCCGTCGCCCTACCCTAGGCTCTGGCCCGTTGCCCTCCCTACGTCCTGGCCCGTCGCCCTAGCCCGCTCTTCCGCTGCAACTGAGTCCTCTTCCCCCCCGGTTCTTACTCGCCTGTTCGTTCGCTTTAGTTCTCACTATGGCGACTCCGCGAGTTCTTCGTTTCGACGCTGACGGTAGACCACTTGACTTTTCCGTCTGGCTTCTTCGCGCTCGCCGTCTGTTAGAGAGTCAGGTCCAGGGGGGCGAGACCCTCTGGTCACACGCTACTGGTGACCTCCCCGAGCCCCCCGAGCCTACAGCTTTAGGCCCTGCTCCTGACGACGCTGCTACGGCTCGCTTTGCCCGTCAGCGCGCTGACCGGACGGCTTGGACGTCGCGTGACGCTGCGGCCTGCATCGCACTCAGCAGCCTCCTCCCTGAGTCTGAGGAGGTCCACTTTACTCAGGTTCGCACCGCTGCTGCGTACCTCACTGCGATTAAGGCCCGCTACTCTACTCCCGCTACTGTCTCTCTCGGCCGTCTTTTCCTCCCGTTCCTGTTTCCTGATCTTGCCTCGTTTGAGCGCTCTGCTGACTTGATCGCTCACCTCCGCTCGCTCGACACTAGTTACCGCGCTGCTTGCACTGAGGCACAGCTTGCACTGCTTCCTCCCCCCATGGCGATCACTGTCTATTTCATCGCCACTAGCCTCCCTGACCGCCTTGCCTCCGTTCGTGACACGCTTCTGCTGAAGCACCCTAGTGAGCTGACTATCGAGGTCCTTGAGTCTGCACTCAAGGACGTCGAGAGCAACCTTCGTTCGGTAGCTGCCGCCTCTGGTACTGTGTCCCCCCCACTCTTCCACGGGTGCACAGTCCCGCAGTTACCTACCTTCACTGCCTCTCTTGCCACTGCCGCTACTGACGCGACTGCGGCTGCTGTTACGACTGCGTCGCGGTCCCGCGGCAGGGGGGGCAAGAAAGGTGGTTCTGGTGGAGGTGGAGGCGGAGGTAGCGGAGGTAGTGGGGGTGCTGTTGCGACTGGGGGTGGTGGGAGTGCAGCGTCTGGAGAGACCCCTCGTGCAGCGGCTGGTGACTCCACTGCACCTGCTGGTGGCGGCGACCCCCGAGCTCGTCAGTCGCCTCCTGTACTGCCGGCCCCGCTAGGTGGAGCAGCGGCGTGGTACCAGGCTCAGCGTCAGCAGCACCTTCAGCAGCAGCAGCAGCCCCTTTCCTCCCAGCAGCCTCAGCAGCAGCAGCGTCAGCAGCTGGCTCCGGGGTCGGGGCTGCGTCAGCCCCAGCGCGGTGCGGCTTACCCTCCCTGCCCCTACCAGGTTCAGACAGGTCCTCGTCGGGGCCACCCTTGTGGCCGCTTTCACCCCCCTGGTCAGTGCTTTGCTCAGCTCACTGACACGGTCCGGTTGACCTATGGGGTTGGCGGTCCTGCTCCTGACTGGCTTCCTCTGGTTCAGCGCTACGGCTCCGCTCTGTGGGGCATGTCTGCTGAGCAGTTAGTTGATCTGATTAGTGCTCCTCATGCTATGTGTGCTGTTGTTGACTCTAGTGTTTCTGACTCTGTTTACTCTGGTGTTGTTAGCTTAGGTGCTAGTCTTGCTCAGTTGCCTGTTGCTAGTGTAGGTACTTGTGTAGACTCTAGACCAGCGACTACCTCTGACGGCGCTTCGCTGTCGTTCACACTGGACTCTGGAGCCTCCCACTGCTTCTTCCGGGACAGCACGACACTTACACCACTTCCTGCGCCTGTTTCTGTAGCGTTGGCTGATCCCACTACGGGACCAGTCACTGCACGTCACACTACCACTTTACCGTGTCCTGCTGCTCCCTCCGGGTCTCTCACTGGGTTTCACGTCCCCTCGTTCTCCCGGAACTTGGTGGGCGTGCGACCCCTCGTGAGTCAGCACGTGGGTGTGTGGTTTGAGCCTTCTGGAGAGACTGCGGTGTGTGTTGACGGAGACTCTTACCGGCCTCTTGCTACCTTTACTGCTGAGCCGGGCTCGGGTCTCTACACTCTTCACACTGGCCCGCGTGCGCCGCAGCAGCAGCAGCCGCAGCCGCAGCAGCAGCAGCAGCAGCAGCAGCAGCAGCACCAGCGGCCGCACCAGCAGCCCCACCTAATGCCACTGCCCCCGGTTCCCCCCCCCGTTCGGGTCCCCGCGTCTCACCAGGTTGCTACGTCCCCCCAGGTGTCTGTGTCGTGTCAGGTTCCTACGTCTGTTCCAGTCGCTGCGTCGTGCTCCTGCCGGTCGCTTGCCCACCCCACCGTTCTGTGGCACCACCGGATGGGGCACCCATCCCTTCCTCGTCTGCGCGCTATGTCTAGTCAGCGTCTTGTCCTAGGCCTCCCACGTGTCTTGCCGTCGCTGCCGCCTTCGCTTGCGCCGCCGTGTCGTCCCTGCGTCGAGGGTAGGCTGCGCGCCACCCCTCACTCCTCCTCCCTTCGTCCGGCCACCGAGCCTTTTGAGACGCTTCACTTGGACGTCTGGGGCCCCGCCCCTCGTCTAGGCCCTGAGCGTGAGCGTTACTTTCTGGTGGTCGTTGACGACTTCTCCCGCTACACCACAGTGTTCCCTCTGGCGAAGAAGTCTGAGGTGACTTCTACGCTGATCAGGTGGTTGCTCACCACCGAGGACACTCGTGGTCGTCGTGTCAGCTGTCTCCACTCCGACCGTGGGGGTGAGTTTCGCTCCGGCATTCTCGCTGGATTCTGTCGCGAGCAGGGCATTCGTCAGTCCTGGACGCTTCCAGAGTCCCCACAGCAGAATGGGGTTGCTGAGCGCCGCATAGGCCTGGTCATGGAGATCGCCCGCACCTCCCTGACTCACGCCTGTGCCCCCCATTTTCTGTGGCCCTATGCGGTCAGGTACGCCGCGCACCAGCTGAACCTCTGGCCACGTGTCTCTCGACCAGAGGTTTCACCGACCAGTCTTTGGACAGGGTCCCCTGGTGTTGCGTCGCGGTTTCGTGTCTGGGGGTGCTTGGCTCTTGTCCGCGACACCTCCGCGGACAAGCTCTCGCCTCGTGCCGTCCCCTGTGTCTTCCTTGGTTTCCCTGAGGACTCCTCTGACTTCACCTTTTACCACCCTCCCTCTCACCGGTTCTTTGACTCCCGTGACGTCCGTTTCGAGGAGTCCACTCCGTACTACGTCAGGTACCCCAGTCGAGGTCTCCCGGTTCCTCCTCCCCCCCTCTTCCTGACTGCCGCTCCCCCTCCTGCTCCCCCGGTACAGCCTCCCCCCCCTGGCCCAGCCCCGTCAGGTGTGTCCCAGGCTACCCCTCCTCCTTCAGTAGCCCCTCCGGTACAGCCTCCCTCCCCACAGTCCTCCTCGCAGCGTGCCGCTGGTGCTAGCTCTCGAGAGGTTGGTGCTGAGCCTGTTCCTGTACCGGTTTCTGGTTCTGGGGGTGCTGGAGTTGGAGCTGGTGTTGGAGCTGGAGTTGGAGCTGGAGTTTCTGGTTCTGGAGTTGGAGCTGACCCGGTGGGTGCAGAGGACTCTTGTCGTCCGGGAGCTGGTGCTGGTCGCGCGGACACTGGGGGTGAGAGTGCGCCTCCTTCGGGTTCTGGTGAGCCTGGGTCTGGAGCTGGTGTTAGTGCTGCCTCTGGGGGTGGTGCGCCTGGTTCTTCGGGGGTTGACTCTGGAGCTGCCGCTGCTTCGGACACTACTCCGCCCCCCCACCCCTACCCGACTAGGCACCAGGCTCGTGTTCGCGGTGCCCGTGACGTGCAGCTGGCGTTGGAGAGCGAGGAGAGGGAGTTACAGCAGCTGGCGGAGCAGCAGCAGCAGCTGGACCCGCAGGAGCAGCAGTCCCAGCAGCAGCCGCGTCCGCAGCAGCAGCAGTCGCAGCAGCAGCAGCAGCAGCAGCCACTTCCTCCTCCTGTCTCGGGTCTTCGGGCCCTTGGTCTCCCCTCCCCTTCTCCTCCCTCCTCCGCCTCTCCTCCTGTCTACGGTCCCACGTTTCCTCCGCCTGACTCCTCCCCCGCTGTTTTCTCCAGTTCTCCGCCTTTGTCCTCTCCTCCTCCGTCTCGTTCTTGGGCTACTCGTCGCTCCCCTCGTGCTCGTCCCTCGTCTCCTGTTCCCTTCACTGACCTTCGTACTGCCTTACTTTGTTCTAGTCCACCTCGTCCGTCTCAGTCTGTGCTTCCGTCTCCTCCTGAGTCGGCCCTCACTGTGTCGCTCCCTGCTCCCGTCACTGACTACTACCGCACGTACCGTCCTGTTCTCTCTCGTGTTCTCGCCTCTCTTGTTACTCACCCTCGTGCCTCTGTGTCCTCTGTGTCCGCTCTTACTGCCGCAGTTACTGACTTTGCCTCTACCCGTCGCCTTGACTACGCCACCACGCTTGTGGCTGCTCCTCCTACCAGTCCTCTGGCCGTCGGGGGTGTGTCTGCCCTTGGCTGTGACGCCCTAGAGGACAGGCAGTTTGAGCTAGAGTTCCTGGCGGCCGCTTCCCCTCATCTCTGTGCCATGCTCCTCGCCCCTGAGGGTGACCCCGACGCCCTTGACATTCCGACTCCTCGCACTTACGCTGAGGCAGTGTCAGGGCCTTGGGCCTCTCAGTGGAGAGCTGCCATGGACGCAGAGATGGCCTCCTACAGATCCACAGGCACCTACGTTGATGAGGTTCCCCCCCCTGGGGCGAACGTAGTCGACGGCATGTGGATCTACAGGGTGAAGCGGCCACCGGGATCTCCCCCGGTCTTCAAGGCGCGCTACGTGGCTAGAGGTTTCAGTCAGCGCGAGGGAGTTGACTTCTTTCAGACCTTCGCACCTACCCCGAAGATGACCACTCTTCGGGTGTTACTACACGTAGCAGCACAGAGAGACTACGAGTTACACTCTCTCGACTTCTCCACTGCTTTCCTTCAGGGCAGCCTACACGAGGAGGTCTGGTTACGTCGTCCCTCGGCCTTCATTGGCACTTTCCCTCCTGGGACCCAGTGGAGGCTGAGGCGACCTGTTTACGGTCTTCGCCAGGCCCCTCGTGAGTGGCACGACACTCTGCGTTCTACCCTCTCTGACCTTGGGTTCCAGCCGTCTTCTGCCGACCCGTCGCTGTTCGTTCGTCGTGGCTCCACACCGTTCTTTGTCCTGGTCTACGTCGACGACCTCGTTTTCGCCACTCCGGACAGGGTTGCTTTGGCAGACGTGAAGTCCGAACTGCAGAAGAGACACACGTGCACTGATCTTGGTGAGCTGCGCCACTACCTTGGCCTGCAGATCACCAGGGACAGAGCCGCTCGCACCATTACACTCTCACAGTCACACATGGTGCAGCAGGTCCTTCAGCGGTTCGGGCTTCAGCACTCCACCGTACAGCGCACACCTCTCGCTGTTGACCACAGACTCACTGGTCCCTTTCCTGACGAGCCGTTTGAGCCTAGTGGTCCCTACGCAGAGCTTGTGGGTTGCCTCATGTACCTGATGACTTGTACTCGCCCGGACCTCGCCTTCCCTCTCAGCATCCTTGCGCGCTTTGTTGCGCCAGGGAGACACCGTCCTGTTCACTGGACGGCAGCTGTGAGGGTGGCGAAGTACCTAGCGACTACATCAGGCGTGGGGCTAGTTCTTGGAGGGCAGCAGTCTGTCGTACTCACTGGTCACTGTGACTCCTCTTACGCTGACGACGCTGAGACTTACAGGTCTACTCAGGGGTACTGTTTCAGTCTGGGTTCTGGAGCTGTTTCCTGGCGTTCCACGCGCTCCTCTTCTGTCTCGACCTCTACAGCTGAGGCTGAGATTTACGCTGGTGCCATGGCGGCACAGGAGTTGCGGTGGTTGACCTTCTTGCTCGCCGACCTTGGTGAGCGGCCGAGCTCTGCACCGACCTTGTTTACTGACAACAAGGCGTCGATCCTCCTCTGTCGTGAGCCGCGACTGGAGAGCAGAGTGAAGCACATTCACGTCAGGTACTTTCTTCTGCGAGAGTTGCAGAGACGTGGACAGGCTCGCTTCGAGTTCGTGGAGTCCGAGGCCAACACTGCAGACATCTTCACCAAGGCGCTTCCGCCTTGTGACCACCAGAGGTGTTGTGTGCAGTTAGGCCTTGTTGACTCAGGTTCTAGTCATGTGTAGACTTGAGTTTATTGTCTGCTTCGTCTGTACACTTGCTATATATACTTGTGATCTCTTGGACTGGCCTTGTGGCCACTGTTGCTTGTGCTCAGAGTGTGTGGTGACGTTGTGATCCACCCTGAGCTTTGTTTTCTTTTGGACTGGTCTTGTGACCGTACTCTTTTTGATTTTGCTAGACACCCCTCACTTAGGCTATGGGGGTGTGTCAAATGTTGTAGCCTGTAGTGAGGTTTGTCTTAGGGGGTACAGAAGTTAGGGTTTGTTATATGTACCCCAACCAACATCAATGGAACCATTCATTCCTCATTCTGACACTGGGGCAGACATTCTTGATAAATTCGTGTTCGTTTTGTGTTATAAAAGACTGCGCGAGGGAATGTAGTTATGCATCTCTCCGTGGGGGCTTTGTAGTCAATGATTTCCAGTCGATCCCCTTCATTTTGTTGTGCCTCTTGCTGCACCTTGTATTCTTTATCTATAATGTTCTTCCAGTGGAAGACAAAATAGAAATGTAATAACGTACTAGTATCTTTCACCACAAAATAGAAATGTAATAACTTACTAGTATCTTTCACCGATGGAATATAACGAGTTGCTTTTGATTTGTATGCTTCCAAGTTTTGCTTGTTGTTACGAGTGCAATTGAGTGAACGAACGAGAATTGCACTATCGAAGCAAGGAATACGAATGAGCGAAGGCATGAGCGAACATTATATAGCGAAACTATAGTGGTAACGGTAATGGTCGCGCGACGAGCCTGGGACTGAGGTTGGGAAAGTGTCGAAGCGTAGGCCCGGAGCGCGGGTTACACCAGCCGAGCCGTGAGGTCGGGATGCGATGTGCGAAAAGGGCGGGATGATGAATGATGCGATGGTCGCGAGTGGTAATGGTGCTGACTGAGGTGCTACAGTGATGTACGCGTTGAGCAGGGACGCGAAGTAAGGAAAAGGGAATTTCCTTACACTACCCCCCCTCCTAAGGAGGTCCTCCTTATGAAAGCGCGTGGATGTCTCGGAAATTGCGGCTACGTAGGTAGTCGGTGACGACGGGGTGATTTTCAACTTTCTCCTGGGGAACCCAATAGTCCTCGGTGGGGGTACGACCTTTCCAGCGGATCAGAAACTCTACTTTGCGGGCTCCTCGAGGGTCGCGAACTCTGTGGCTCAGGATCTTGTCGGGGGTGATGACTGGTTCGGTTGGTGGTCGTGTCATGCTGGTGGGTCGATCTCGTGGGAGTTGGCTGGTGGATGGCACGTAAGGGCGAAGTAAGCTAACGTGGAACGAGGGGCTGACGTACCAGTCAGCAGGGAGAAGGAGGTGCGCGGTGACTGGCGTAACCATGTGACTGATTCGAAATGGCCCACAGTATCGAGGGCGGAGTTTTGGAGTGATTGGCAGGCGGAGGTTCTGAGTGTCGAGTAAAACGAGGTCGTCGGGCTTATAAGTAATGGGTCTGCGATGGCGATCGGCGTTGCGTTTAGCCATGATGTTTGATTTTTTGATTGCTTCTGCTGCCCTGGTCCGTGCTGCTTGCAGAATCTCGGCGAACTGTTGTGCTCGTGGGACGGGGTTGTCGGGATTCGGTGTCATGGGTACTGTTGGGTCCTGTCCGTAATTCAAGTAAAACGGCGACTGTTGCGTCGTGGCTGATGGTGCGTTATTGTATGCGAACTCGATGAGTGGCAGCTGCTGTTCCCACGTATTCGGATCGTCGCACGTGGCTCGAATCAGCTGCTCCATGGTCTGATTTGTCCGTTCCGTCTGTCCGTCGGTTTCGGGGTGATAGGATGAACTGAACTGTAAGCGTGTGCCGAACTGCTGCCACAGGTTCCGCCAGAAGTTGCTTGTAAATTTCGTGTCCCTGTCGCTGATGATCGATGCGGGTATCCCGTGCAGTCGAACGACGGTGGTGATGAAGAGTCGGGCGGTTTCCTCGGCTGTGATTGATTTCCTGCATGCTGCGAAATGAGCCATCTTCGTTAGTCGATCGACGACGACCAGGATCGCGTCATTCCCACTCGCCCCAGCTGGTAACCCCGTGACGAAATCCATTGTCACCTGCTGCCAAGCACGCTCTGGGGGCGGGATGGGTTGCAATTGTCCCGCCGGCCGCTTCCTGCTTGACTTCATGAGCTGGCAAGTGGGACACGATGCCACGTGTCGTTGCACATCAGTCAACATTTCTGGCCAGTAGTAATACCGCTGCAGCTGCTGCCGTGTTTTTTCTACCCCGAAATGTCCCGAGGTAACTCCGTCGTGTGCTTCCTGTAACAGTAGT